TTCCAGGTCCAGCTTAGAATAAACATCTAGCTCCAAATACTATAAACTCAGCAACAATAACTACAATAATAACTCCATGTGATTTATGAACAACCATATCTTAATTTGTCATTTTCTCAGAAACAGAAAGATGGTGGGGGAATTTTTGGCAATAAGTTTCCTAAAATTAAATGAATGAAACAGTAACTCCTGAAAAGTAGTTTTACATAGAAATTAAGCAATTCTAACAACATTTTTCAAAACAGGGAGAGAATAATCCTTTACAACCTACTAAACAGAGTGACAGATATGACAGGAGACAGTTTCTTACATCATAAAAGAGACTCTAAAATCCCATTAGAGGTGTTTATATGAGACAAGGCAACCATTTCTTTCATTTTGTTATTTTAAAATAATAAAATATCAAGCAATCTAAAAGCAAAGTGTCAAAGATTAAGCAGATATGTTTTCCTCTGACCAAAAAGGACTTAATATTTTCTAAAGGTAAAACAGCATAAAAGTCTGCTCATACATCCTTTTAGAACATTCCTAAATGCTATGGTGAGGGTGCACAAGCAGTGGAAAGCATCCATCATCCTCCACTCGTCCCTCAAATACCTGCAGCCCCATAACCTCTCCAAGCTGGGTTACAGTTACAGGAACAAGAAATCAATGCCTCTACAAAAAAATTACAATGTAATTTAAAGGCTTCAAAAGACACTTTAGTGCTGCAAGGTGTTTGAAGATCAATTACAGCAGAGGTGCATGGGACCATTTCCTATCTGATGAAAGCACTCCACGAGTCTTCAGTGGAAATTTGGAATGCTTGGGGATACCCAAGCAATAAATTCAGTTTACCCTCAAGATTTCCAGCTTCAGGTTCATATGTAACTTATTTAATAAAGGGAAATTTCACTGGCTTTCAATTTTTTTTTTTAAACACTGTCCCATGTTTTCACAATTCTGCTTCTTTAGAAAATGCTGTGAATATCAATGGGTCAAACAGTAGAAATGCCAGTATATCCAATCCAATTGAATCATAAATATAATACCTCTGGGAATGGATGCAAATTAATTGAAGAACTGCAATGAACTACCTGGAAAGAGACTAAAGTCTGGAGGAAAAATGGATAATCTGAAATACGTGCAAATTAATAGACTTCGCTGTAATTAGCAGTGTAGTTAAATATATTCCATATTCATGGCAGAAAAAATACTACCTGTCCTAGATAAATGTGAACTTTAGTTAATGATACTGTTGGCAATCTTACCTTAATTATCATGCTGCATCCTATTCTGAGATAGCCTACATGTGCTTTCATTCTTGTAAATGACCTTCCAGCTCATTGACTGCAGTAATGAATCAGGCTGCGTCTACACCCTACACACACTTGGTTCTCTACCCAATTTATTTTAAAATCAATTGTATTAAATGAAGAGCAAAAAACCACCTTTAGAATTTTCTATTTTAAGCCACGGTAATGTAAATGAAAAAGGATTTATTTGCTATTTACCCTGCACAATATTGCAACAGCACAGTACAGAAATGTTTTTGTACCACTATAATATTATATAATATATCTAATAATACTGTAATAATATTACATTATTTATTATATAATAATATAGATAGTTAATTGTGTATCGGTCTTTTCACATTTTTCAGCACCTGCATTTAAACATGATGTGGACATTTCCCCCTATGGTAATTACAACGTTAAGGCTGAAAACAAAACATAAATGCAAATAATCAAAAAATGTAATTTAGATGAAAAAACACCCTGTAATTATTAAAGGATTATTTTCTGCCATTAGCAATGCAGGGGCAGTTGTGTGAAAGGGAAGGTATAAAGATCATTACCAAACAGAAGAATTCCAATATTAAATACCCTAAAATACTTGTGTAACACCACTGGCATTGTTAGCTGGACACCATTGGCTTTGTCAGGAGCATTGTTAGCTGGCCATTCTGTGTTACAGGAATAACAACTTCATGGAATGGTCTCAGGAAATGGAAAAGATATTTGCAAGAGTCTGTTTAGCCCTGACCAGGTTGCACCAAGGATGGTGCAAAAAAGTATGTCTGCCACTCCAGTAAGAAAAAATAAAATAAAAAAGCACAGTTGTCCATTTCAGGCATTTGGAATTCTAAAATAATGGCAATTGTAAATCCTACAGTACCAGCAAGGAGCTGTTTTATTCTGTCACTTCATCAAACTACTGACATGCAAAATGTTTAAATGAATATTTTCTAGTTAGCAAAAATATGCTCTTGTTAGTACTAACATAAGTCATGATATTGCTAAAACAAACAGGGTACATTTTAGTTTCATTATAGTTTCATTTAAAAATTATGGTAACTTGATTGCTCTGTCTTGGCCAAGTACTTCTTCAGAAACTTCTCTTGTTTTAAACTAATAAATGAAAAAAAAAATTAATCCATTTCCCCAGACTCCTCTAAAAAGAACACAGCTAAGTATTATAATTATATACTAAGTATTACTATATTAAGTATCACAGTAAAAACATTTTAAGATAGATGTTGCACATGTAATCCCCACAAGCACATAAACAAGCAGTTAATTTTTACGTATTATGTCATGGATACACTTTAACTGCCAATTACTAGGGTAAGTTTGGATCACAATACCCAGAAATAAAGGATATAGGTGAAACAACAGGGCTGGCAAATTAATCAAGTGTCATATTCTGCCTTCATGGTCTCAGCTGCCTAGTTCTGCTGTCAAGTGTCTGATGCTAGCAAAAAATATGGAGCTTTTGGGCAATATATTTTTTTCACCTACAAATTTAAGACTAAATGAATCCACTAACTACCTGTCGGGGAAAAATTAAAATGTATTAATTATCTGGTCAGCACTATGCAAAACCCACCATTTATTGGTTTTATAAAAGGTCCCCAGAATTAGAAATCCTCCTAACAAAATTTCTTATTCATTATTACCAAAAAAATACAGAAACTGTGTCTTCCTTTTAGAATTCACAATGCATCCTGAGGTAGACATATCCCATGACAGACCAGCTATTTATTTCAAGACATAAGACAAGCTGCATTTACAAGCAACCAGCAATCTATTATTATTATTATTTATCTGCAAGTAGTAAGAGCTTTACAGAGTATTTTGCATTAACAGACCTCAGCTAAAGGAAAGGCCTGTTAAACACATGAAACAAGCACCACACTAAGCAGACTAAAATGAAAGCTTCTTTGGAATCCAAACCCATTCTTTTCTCTTCTGGAACACACAGAGGGATGGAAGAAAGGAGCTGCAGGATGTACACTAGTGAATAGAACTGTGAAGCACACAGTTATTGTATGCTCAACTGTTTTCCTTCTGAATCTTTACTATAGTTTATTCCCTATTATACAAGCCTGGGATCTGCTGTCCTGACCATCACTTCTGAACTGAGAACCAATAATAACTTTACTTCAGTGAGATAAGCTTCTCTGAAGAAAAACTATTGAACCAAAAAAAGTTTATAGCTTACACTTAATTTCTCAGTATTAAACACAGGGTAGCTGACTGAACTCTAGTAAGACCAGGAGTTCAGGAGAGTGGCTTATTTATACCCAAATAGAGGGTATATTTCTCCTTCTGCTCCAAATTCTGCTCACCACAACCACAGATAAAACTAAGTCTGGCACTTCTGATTTTAGAAGCAGCAGCAGTAAAGGCACCTCATACTGCAATGATGTATCAGACTCTGCTTGTAAAACAGAAATACAGCCAACTACCAGAGCAAAGTGTGAATGCAGGACTAGAACTGTTTGAAAATTAATTAGAATCTGCTGTTAATAGTTTGGATAAGCGTCTGGAGATACCCAAGTTGCAGCTACTTGTGTTTCACCAATCCAAAGCAAATGTGAATTTACACATAAAACACAAACACAGCTGTTGACCGTGAAACTATTAAGATAAATATAGGTGAAAATATTATTTAATTTAATCTAAACAGTAAAGCCATCTACATTATTTTCTTGACTTTTTTTCCTGGAAATCTACAATGGTCTTAAAACACAGCAGATGCAGCTAGTTATTGTTAAAGCTTACAATATACAATTCATTCTCAATGGAATACAACACAGGTCTGAAAATAAAGTGTAATTTAGACCTGTCCTGGCTAGTTAGAACTGCATCACTCTCCTGACAACTCAGAATGAAGTGAGCAAAGCAATCCTCTCTCAATTTACTCAAAGCACTATTTGTAACCCACTGTTGTACCGTCAAGTTCCTGGAATTATTATCTCTAAATTGTTAGAAACTGGAACTCATGTGAGCAGTCTGTGTGCCTTTCAGGTTCTGAAGGTTATCTACACAGGCAAAAAGGTGGGGAGAGAGAAGCAACCATCCAGTCCACAAGAAAGGAGTCGAACACTTGACACTGAGATGAAACTAATCATGTAAAGCTTGGCTACACTGATAGGATTCCTTCAGCAAAAATTCACTTCTTGTGATAACATGATGGAAAACTGAGCACAATGGTGATAAAGGCATTTCAGTATCATTAACACTTCTGAGAGTTGAGAGAGACACTAAGTTCTGATAGAGGTCGAGACGCATCGTAATTCCTGTAAGTAGAAATGTTGCATTGCAGCCAAGTGTACCACAGCACAATCAGATTTTTTTTGTCCTCTTCCCAGGCAGAGGCCTTATATAACATCTGTGTTCACAAGGTTTCACTTCATGTTCCTATTCCATTATAGACCTTAAAATGGGTTGAAAGGATATACAGCTCACCCACCTAACCACCATAACGTAAGAAAACCACACAAAACTGTTCCTCTGAGCCCTACCTGTTCCTTGCTTTAGGCCAGCAATCACACTTTGCACAGCTCTTGCCATCCTGTGGAAAGAGATGAATCCCCTCCAGAGCTCAGGCTTCTGGCATTCACACTCTTTCAGTATTTGTTTCACTCAATTTCAAACATGAATTGCACAACACATAAGCCACTGAAAATTTTCACACATTTGTTTGAAGCCTTACAGGCATTTTGTATTTACCTTGCTTTTTAAAAAGGTTGCTGCGTACAATTTCCTTCATGGACTGCACTTTCTGCTTCTGTAGTTTCACTGGTGGGATGCAAGTGTAAAATTTGTATAGTAGTTGGCTGCATGAAAAGGAAAAATGTCATAAATACCATACAGATTCATTCATCAGGTGTTAATAAGAACAGAGAAAAAGAGCAAAAGATCACATATTTCTAAACATTTATCACTTTTTAAGACTTACATTTATTTATATATCATGAATATTGACAAGAGACCAGTAACAAAAGTATCCATGGACCAACCACTGTCTTGATCAGTAGGAACTGGTATGTCTTTGTGGACCTAAACTGATCTGCAAGAATTAATTGCAGACAACTAGGAAATGTTCAGGAGTGACTCACCTCAGTAATTTGGCATCAAAAACCATTTCAACGTCATGAAGAACTGATGGTATGTACTTCAAGGCAGCAACCTGCATTGACAGACAGATCATGTTAATCCTGGATGTTTATATATGTGCATGAACAGCACAGAGCCCACCACTGAGACAGATAACACAAAACTGAAAAACTCAGACTTCTTTCCCCAGGCTGAAATATTCACATTTGAATGAATTTCACCGGAGTTGCATGTGCTGAGGCAATGCAGAGGAACTTTACCACAGTTCCAAGTGGATCTGATTCTCTTTGCCATGCAGCGAAAGGGCCCAGGCTTTGTATCTTATTCCTTTGCAGACCACTAAAAGTGTCATTAGGATGCAAATAAGTAAACCAAGCACTGATCAAAGCAGGAGCTGTATCAATTCCATCCTAGAAATGTGCCGTGCAGGAGTCAGGGTGACAGCCACCGCCCACCCCAATGCCACCCTTTCTAGAATAGATGAAAAGGGGCGTCATGTCCCTAACCAACCATCTGCAGCCAAGCTGTGGGATGGTTTATCTCCTCCTATCAATTCCTGAGCTATGTTTTGACAGCACAGTGGGATAATCAAACCTTACCCTGACAAGGCTAAGAGACAAGTTACTATTCTTGCATGGACAAGAAAACTTGAGCAGGCAATTTCAGGCTCAAAATCACCACTAACACTTAAGGCTAATATGCATAAAAACTGATTTGCAGCACTTCACTGCGCAGCTTTAGGGTGGAAATTCCTACTAACATCTTCCTAAAATCTAAATTAAAGTCATGTGAAGCCTTCTATTACTGATCTATATGATAGTAGCCTATCCAGGTTCAATATTTCTCTTACCTGTACACGGCAAGCTCCTTGTTAAAAACTTACTCTCTTTCTTGAGAGTAGGGGGCTTAAAATGAAGACAATCAAAAATGAAGAGCACAGCTTTCTTTGGCTCTTTTAGACCTTTTAAACACAATAAATCTATAGTTTTATTTGTATGAGCTTCCACTGCAGTAGAAAATTAAAACTAAACAAAAAACTAATTATGTCTTGATTGAAAAAGAGAGCTTAGTCTGCAGCACGAGTGAATACAGTATTTCAAAGAAACTCAAAGCTGGCATATGATACATTCAGATAAAGTCATTCTCCTGCAGATCTCATCCCACACTCATACACACACCTAGAAAGGTCAAAGGAGTGTTTAAAAAAGAGATGAAATCTTCTACTGATCTTGGGAAATCCCTGGGCTATTTAAAGCACCCATATAAGCCCCTGTGTTGGGGTGGAAACTGCCTCCAGCTTGAGTTCAGACTCGTGCTGCTGCTCCTCGCTTTTCAAGCAGCAGATACTTGTTGCACAGCAGCATCTGAATTTCATTTTACAGCTATTCACAGGTACTGTAAAAGATGTTTGATAAAAGAGAGAGCCACCAGCGGCCACAAAATATTTCAAGCAGTACTCCACTGACAGCTGGACTATTGTGCTGTCTGACTTTCTCATGCTCCCTGTTCTACACTTGCATAGGAGGGAAGTGGGGAGGATAGAGCTGCAAGCTCTCTCTGCAGATCCACAGCTCCAGCTGAAGTACAATAATGAGTATATCCCCTGCACTATTTTAGACTCTCAAGTTTCATTTGCAATAATAGCTTCAAATGATGCACTATGGATACAATTGAGCACTGTCCTTAATGAAGTCATTAAAATCTCCTAGTCAGCAGTACAAGATGTTCTGCATTCTTCAAACCCTAAGAGATTATTTTTTTAAGCAGGATACAAATAAACCCACAGCACTGCAGAAAATTATTTCTTACATATACAATGTACAGTTAAATTTATTTTAACCTTTACTCCTGACCAAGTTTATTTTTAGCTGCCCTCTTTTTGCAGTATTACATTATACATATTCATGAAATTCGAGTAACCATGAGATGAAAAGTACAGTCGAAGAAATCACTGGTGCTCTGTTTCTTAATCTAATTTTACTTGTTATCAAGGCAACTGTAAGAAGTTACTGTGCCATCCCTCTTTGTGCACCACAAGCAAAGCATCATTATCAGTACCTTTCTAGCCTTATTCCATCATAAGAAAACTGTACAGAGATCCATAAAGTCCTCAGAATCTACTGCAGCAGCAGGGTGGGTCAAAATTGCTTGGGGAAGAATGAAAGGCAGCAGCTTCATATTCCATTATTTTTCATACTTTTCAGTGCCACAGACAATTTCTTTATGCTACATTTCAATGACCTTGAGAACCTGTCATCTAAGGTTTCTGAAAACACACAGAGCACAGGGAGTTGTGCTTTCTCAAATCAGTGCCTAGGAGCAAGCAGGGGGGAGATGACATTTGCAGCAGACAAGACCATCTGTAGGTCAAACGTGGTGTGTCAGCTGGGGAACACAACAGTTGGAAAGGGAGCAGAGGTTTGATTTGTAAATTAAGGCTGAGAGCACAAGCTGGTCAATGAAAGGGCACACTCACAGAATACAAGTCAACAGTAGTGTGATGTAAAAAACATATAATCTGAAATTTAAAAATCATTCATTCAATTTTATTCCCCAGAAATAAAGAGTGATTTAAACAGACATAAAACATATCCACTAATAATTATGTTTGTTTCCCTGAGTACTCAGACAAAGGATAGAAAGTACTGATACCTCCTCTATTCCCCCTAACCCCCGAGCCTCCCTTCAAACTCCTTGCAGTTTCTGGAAACTCCTTTCTAGGTTTCCAGATTTCAAAGATTCTCTCCCTGAGAAGTACAGGCTTAATGAAAAAATCTCTCTAAAATAGACAAGAGTCACCAGCAATGGCTACAGAAGAGCAGCTGATAAATGCAACAAAGCTGTAACATCATCCCTGACAAAAGAAATTAAAGAAAGGTTTAAGTATAGTGCCTAGAAAGCCCTACTACTGTAAAGACAGTGTAACTTCTGAATGAATTATTTTAAATAATTACAGGAGCAATCTGTAAAAAATCCTCTTAAAAGGAGGAATCCTTACTCTACAGCTGCACATTGATTCTTCTACTGGTGGCATGAAACCACCCCAGCCTCCACTCCAAGGGCCAGCCTTACAAATCACCACGCCTGGAGCTCTGCACTCAGATGCAGCCAGGCCACTCTGCAGCTCAGATGGGTGCTCTTAAACATCAGCACAGCAGGGATATTGAAAATAGAATCCTAATTGTTGCTTAATTACTTCATGCAGTGCTGAAGTTGAGAAGCATTCTGTCTGCATCTTTAAACAAAAAAGATAACTTACCCAACTCCTGAAGCTGGTTTTTTTTTTTTAAATAGGCTAATGTGGGTTAATATGTACATTTGCAGTCTGCCAACAATAAATTAACAATTCAGTCTTTAGCTGTTCAAAGCTTATGTGAAAGTACTACAAAACAGAACCAGATATCTGCCCTTCCCAAAGCTCAGGCACTCCAGTAAGTCAAAGCCTCAATCCACTTCAGTCAGCTTTAGAACAAGGACTGAAAAGAGATCTGTAACTTTTTGTAAACGTATACAGCATTTAACAGATCAGGAAGTAAGATATCACTCAGTAGATAAAGTTAAATTAAAACAATAAAGTGCTTCTGGCATAGATGAGGCTGTTCCATATAACATAATTTTATAAAAAATCCTTTCCTGAGTGAATTAATTTTCAATGCAAGTCTGAGTGTGATTCTATCAGTAAAAATAGCTGGGAAATTACTAGAGGTGAAAATACTGAGTTCCAAATTAAAAAAAAAAAAAAAAAAAAAAAAAAATTCTTTAAATCATCTACAGTAAAACCCAGTAAGCATTTGGACAACCAAGGATGAAATAAGAGTTAAAAATTCACATTAAAAAGCTCTGCAAACTAGTTCAAGTTTTAATATCCTGAGAAACCAAATTACTTCAACTTTCTCCAGGGCTCCCAAAACTTTCTCCTCTGATATCTTCAGACCATAATCTACTTGTACCCATTCAATTGATCCTACCAATCTATGTTCCACTTATCAATGATAATTCCAAGTGTGACAGATTTAAGCCAGTTTTAATATTCTGATTATTCCAGTATTTTTCCAACAGACTCTGAACTTCCCTCTCTGGGTACACAAACTGTAACATCTATGGGGTCCCTTGTGTCCATAGAATCACCAAATAACCACCTGTCCCTTCCTCTGCAAAGTTAATTTGTACTACTACAACATCCATCACTGTCATCTCAAATACCCCAAGGGAAATCAGTGTTGGATTTAGGTAGAAGCAGATTTATGAATTTCTTTCTACTACTTTCTCCTCCCTCTCACTAGAAATTATCTCCATTTTCTGGCCTGCATCCACCTACCAGGGCAGAAGTCTCAAGTACCAGCACTGAAATCTCCTCTAAACAGGCACAGAAATACTGTCCCTTGAGAAAGCTGTGGCTGCTTATGCAGTTCATGATGAAGTGGGAGGGAGTGTTAATTTTATATTTTTTTCCTCCAATAAACTTATTTCCAGCAGCCAGCACTAAATTAAAGCTGGGCGCTGCTCATTCCATGCCTCTCTTATCAGAATTTTATAACATGAATACAGTAGTTTTTATTTACTGTATGTAAAGCAATCTCTTTGTAGGCTTCTCTCAGAGACACAGCTGTATGAGCCATTAGTATCTGGAACAAGAGCAAAATTATGATACAAACCAGTATTTCACATCTGCCATTAAAGGTTCCTGCTAAAAAGAAAACTTTCAGTGTCTTATGCAGATTTAGAGACCCCCAAAGCCCACTAGTGCTTCAGAATTATGAATAAATAGGACCCATATTGCACAACTGACAGCCTTCATTAGAAATCAAAAATTTTGATTTTCAATATAGTTTTGATCAAAGTATAACTGTTTAATAACTGGTCTGTTTATGAAACACAAGGATGTGCTCTTTAAAATTAGCATTAGCATCCTTTAGTCCTTCTGAGAGATGCTCAGCTGTGTTTTCAAGGTTCTGCTGTTTCTGAGGAACATCAACCACGATATGGTGCATGTTTGCTAAACAGGTACAGCGCTAGGAGCTGGGATTAAACATGGAAATATGGAAATGGGGGTAGCCACAGTCACACTCCTCAGTCCATGCAATGTCACAGTGCCACTGGCTCTACAACCTGCTCTGAAACACTCCCAGCAGCCTTTCAGGGGCATCACTGCCCCTTGCACACCCAAAAACTGTTAAGGAGGAAAAAGTTTTGTGTGAGCCTTTCTGGTCCCTCTCAAGAGGAAACTGCCCCACTCATCAGAGGAAAGTCAGATGGACAGCCCCACACCAGTGATGAGCCATGCTCTCCCCAAAGAGCATAAATCCTCCAAGATCTCTTTCTTAATTAGTACAAGTACCATAGGAGCAAACATTATTATATAAACTCTTTCAGTATTACTTTAAAGATGTTTTGAGAGTTTTTTTCAGAAGTTTCTCCTGCTTCTGATGCAGCATTCAAATGTACAAACTATTCCCAGGAAGGCATCTACAGAATTATCAAGTAACAGAGTATCTGCTTGATTTTTAAATGCATTTAGAAAATTACTGTAACCATGGTATTATACAATTAACTTGGTATTTACTTTCTCAGCTTTCGCAGTTGCACATTAAACACTCCATGCAAAGTGTCAGCTGATACAAATCTCAAGATCAGCCACCTGAGGTTTTATTCAACACAGGCTTTTTCACAGGCTTCCACTTCTAATCTAAGTCATATCAAAAGGAATCAAAACACAGAACCAGAGGAAAATTCAAGCCCAATGCATACAATGTGTTTTTAATAAAGAATGTATGAATCATCAATGCTGCAGCTAATAAATCTCCTACATTTCACTCTACAGGAAATCTTGATAGTTTTTCATATTAATACAGAACTGCAAATTATTTGATATTAATGATGCAAATAGCTCCTTGTTTTCTAGTTTTCTTTAAAACATTAGATTCTGAAGGGTTAGAATAATTGAGATTGACATGAATGGCAAACCCTTATCCTATTTTCAGTTTAAACAATGGAACTCCCAAAGACTGAGACAATAAAATTTGTTTTCCCAACTAAGGTGGTGGAATCCTTGCTTAGCATTATCTGGAGAAACTCAAGAATTAAACGTTCAGGTCCCACTGGAGGCTTCAGTCATTAGATTGCTTGAAACTTTCCAACATCTGTGTCTTGGTTCTTTCCTTGACTCCATTCACAGAATTTCTGTAAGCGTATCTTGTCCTGACCTTTTCAAACTAGGCTCCAAATTTATCAAACAACCTACTCTTCCAGTAGAGGGGAATTACAAAAGAGACATATTGAGAAATTTCCTGAGTGTCTTTTCCTTGAATTAAAAAGAACAAAAAGTAAAAGCCCATGTACAAAATCCATATAGAAAATCAAATCCAACTGGTTTCCAAGCACACACCAACCTGCAACAAAATGGCAGTTTTATGCTGGCTTCTCATCAGGTTGTTGATGGATTCAAAGAGTCTTCTCATTGATTCTTCAAATTCTGTTTGTTCTTTGCCTTCATATAATCTGTTGAGAGATGCATTAGGTTATCCTTTCAGAATTAGAAAGTTACATCCTCCCAAATGCAACAGATTAAACATTAAATATATATTTCAGAAGTTGATCCAATATTATGTACATAGATATTTCCCTGGTGGGTTATAACTGCTATTCACTATATTGTGTAGGAATTCTTCCACTTGAAGACTACAATAACCACTTTCAATTGTTTTAAAAGCCTCTAAAGCATGACACCTCCCAGATTGCAGCTTGTATAAATCATTTTACTTTCAAAGTAAGTTATATGCAAAAAGGAAAAAAAAAATGATGTTTTTTTTTCCCCCCACTACAACTGAGCTACTCAAGGATACATTTCACAAATTATGACAATTTCTGTCTTCTGCTGCTGCTGCCACTTTTTCCAAGAGCTATTTTTACTGGCCCCATTAACCATTCTGCTTTTTGAAAAAAGTCTCTATTTGACACTTAAAAGTTTAAAAGTGCATTTAAATTGAGCTCTCTCCGTTATTTCTCCATTCCCTGTCCTAAAGTTTGAATCCCTCAGATTATCTCTCCTGTATTGTTCCTACTGGCTCTTAGTACTAAACACTACCTACATAAACAGTAAAAACACTGATGACATGTGAAATTAGTTATGTGAAACAGCTGTCAAGAGTTAAAGAAAAACAAGCTAAGAAAAAAGCCAAGATGACAAGAGAATCCTGAAATGTGAGTAGAATACTGTGAGCTAAGTGCTGCCTCTTCTGCTCCATCAGGAGAGAAAAATCTCTTTTTAAAGTAAGGTATTGCAGTGTCATTTGCTTTTCAATCTGAAATGTAAGACTGCTTACAATAATAGTATTTGTCCCATGAATTTAGAGTTTCAGACCTGTAGTTAAGTAAGAGTAGGTATATGTAGCTTATTACCTATTCAGGTGATTATGATTACTGCAATGCAACACATTGCAATTACCCACTTTATGACAGATTGTCCAATGAACATTTTTAGCTGCAAGATAACACAAGGGATTAAAATGAGGACCAAAGTTCTCCCTGAAAAAAACCCCTTCTGATTTCTGACCTTCATCCAGACAAGAAATTTTCCATAATACTCTACACAATGCTTCCTTCTCCAAAACTCTAATATACTTTTCTGCCATTACACCTATGATAAAAATATAAGATAAAGTTGTATTCTGCTCTCCCAAGCACCATCTCCTTCCTTATATAGCTTTGCATCCTGTTTACCTGTATCCATCTATAAATAGTAAGTTCCTAGAGACAATAATATTTCTAAGGTACTTCAACAAAAACATCATCATCCAGCAAGTAAACAAATTTAAAAAACCCATAAATTTATATGGATTTCTTTTTTTAGTTCCATTTTAGTGGAATTTCAGAGGAAAAGTATGTTAGAGCTCCTACTGAGCATAAGACAGCTGGAACAGAACACCTTCCTCTTCAGCCACAAACACAACACCCAACCACTCCCTACAGGTCTGAGACTGCCACTGCCTGACCTCTGCCCCTACAGTCCTTCAGCCACAAAGGGAAATCAGAACTAGCTGTAGGGGGAAACCAGCTCAGGATAAATAAATGGAGAGAGGTGAAGCAGAAAAGAATTGAGGGAATGGTCTGTGGTGTATGGAGAGAGTACAGTTACCAGTGTGCAATTTTTCTCCTTCCACTTTTCATTTCCTTTGTTCTCCCCTCCTCCTTTTCCCCTAGACTTGAATACCACTTGTAAATACTACACCTCTGTTTACCTGAGCTACACACATCCAGCCCATTGACACTTCCTATAAATTCCTTAAGAGGAGGTCCAAAACTCTAAATTTAGTGTGAGCACAGTTCCTGAAATGACACTGCTCCGTGCACGGTGTGAGGGGCTGAACACGATGTTCTCAAGGACAAGTCTCCAGCCTCCAGCCATCTGTTGAGACGTTTGGCCATCCACTGGTCTTAGGCCAAGCCACCTGACACAAAGAATAATCACCCTTTGAAACCTGCTGCTATTACCAAATCCATCTCTGGAACTTACTCTGAGATTCAGAAAGCGAATTTTTGGATATTCCCTCTACAAAAAATATCTCAGCAGTGTCTGTATTTTAGAGCAGTTGTCAGTTTTTATGTTTTATTTGTAAAAATAAAAATCAGCTCTGTTCTAGAACTAACTTTTTCTCTTTCTTAGGTCTCCTTCTATGTCTGATATTAGACAGCTAATTAAATTGCAATGTCTGAGTACTTACTGGGAAAATAATGTCCTTGATCTAACAATGAACTTGAAAACATATTCCAGTGCTTTCAGAGTTCTGAGGATAGGTTCACATTGCTCCCCTCGGCTGGAAGTATCCAAGTATATCTTCAGAACACTCATTAATTTCCTGAAGTTTAAAAATATTTTAAAAAAATAATTGTCATTATTATTTTTTAATAACCTTCTTTAGTGTCTTTGGCAGCTCTAAATATATGTTCATGCTTAGTCAAGCACATCCAAGAAAACAGACTGCATGTATTTCTGGATTTATGTTGCACAAACTCTGTCAGTATAAACAAATGAGGAATAAATTCTTAGCTGCACAAGCAAGAGAGAAATCTGAAATCTCAAAAGAGCAGCATGACTTTACACAATCCTGGAAGCACCTTTACAGAAGTTTGTAACAAAGAAACACAAAATATTCCTTCTGCTTACCTCCACTGAGCAGTGATTAAACACCACTGCATGCTCTAATTAACAGCACGTAAATATAATATTCCAGTACACAACAATATCTGCTTAAATAATTTACTTTATTTAAACACTTCTTTATTCTGTATCTAAAAGCAACTTTTTGTTAAAGACACAGCCAGCTACAAATGAGCAGAAGTTCATCTAAAACTAAGTTACTTAATTTGTAGTTATAGAATAATCTCAAGTGATTAAAGCAATACCAATGATGCAATATTGATCTTAATGCAGCCATGATAAGGATGGTTGGGGTTTTTTTTCCCTACATCTCTACAAATATGGAGACCTTGCCCTAAACGAACAGCCAACAAACAAATTTCTGTGTAACTAATACACATCCCCAGCCTAACTCACATTTCAGGACCAAAACAATGTGCTTTCAGCCTCTCAGTCTCCAGGGCATTAGATCCATTGTGTGTTTCTATTTTCTCCTTTTAGCTGCTCAGAGTTGGAACAATATTTATCCAACTTGTAGGTAGGTGTAGCACATGTTAACCCCTCTCAGAGCTCTCTAAAAGCCAGCAGAAAGGATGACTCAACAGGAACTGAATAAATAGGTGAAAGTTTGGCCAACCAACCATGTCATAACATGGTTATAATATGTCTGGGATACAGTATTTCCTTCCTAGTTAGGAGTTAGGCCACACACACTTGCGTACTTTATAAATGATACTGGAACCAGAGTAAATCTTTCATGATGTGCCTTGAATGCCAAGAAAACACATGATGTGGGGAGCAATCATAAACATTATTATTTTGCCTCTATCACATTGATTAAATCATCAGATACTCCCAGACAGGTAAGTCTTAGAAATATTTTATGCAAATAAGGCTGTCCTGAGAGGTTCTGTACCCTTCCTTCTTTAATAAAGCATTAAACTACATGTGCTTGTTACTTATGGAGTGAGAGAGGATCGAAGAAGAGCACACAGCTTATGATAGAGCTTTCTGAGCTCAGCTCACTTCAACTTTACTGAGGTGTGAGAAAGGGCTGATTTTGCATTGCTGCCTTTCAACCCTAGGAAATTCATGGTCTGGTGCATGATTTTTGTGACATTTTGTGTTCAGTTAGAACTGATGCAAATTCAGCACAGACAGTAGAAGATATCCCCAAACCTTCAGCTCAGGTCTTCCATGCACTATTCATATTCCAAATTAAAGTTCTGCTTCATTCTGCCACTCCATTAAGCTGCTAGAATGAGACATCAGGTAGATTAAAACCCCACATCTATCCTCTTAGATTAAAACCCTACATCTATCCTTTTAGAGCACATCCCAGGGATCAGCACCAGCTGAAGATGTTAACTTCCTTCACAATTCAGTCATTTTATCCTACATCATCTGCAAAAGCCTATTCTAAACAAAGTAGGAATCTAAGATTAAATCTGGTGTATAACACATCTGCACAGTTTTTACTCTTTTCTATGAGTCCATGTCTTCCCATCTGGGTGTTATGTGGAAGCTCCAAAAGCTGAAAACAAATAAATAAGTAAAAAATCCACTACAAGTCCACCCATTGGCATGACCATGTAACAAATGCTACAACTCCATTTCATAGCAGGACATGTAACAAATACCAAAATTCACTGCACTGAACCCCTCCTGATGCAACATCAGACTAAAATGCATATGAAAACTTGGCAGTTCCCAAATAATTATTTTGCCTTTGAGTTTGCTTGATGTGAAAAAAAAGTGGAAGTCTATGTAAATGGGTTAAGGAGAGCCTCAAGTCATCACTTGAGGCATTTCAACTTAAGGCCAGGGATACAAATGGACAGCAAAGCATCTTTTGACAAATTTGGCAGGATACAGGTGAAGTGCTCAGACAAAGCAAAATCCAGATGACAGAAAACAAATGCCGAAGCACCATTTAACCCCAAATCATTTGCTATGGGTTCATTAATTCCACTTATTAATCAAATGTGTCTCAGAAGCAGAGAAGCAAACAGCAGCATCAAAACAACAGTCACCATAAATTACATCAGGAAAGTCACAAGCATGATTTACTTTTTTTTATGAGATGGTGGGGGTTTAGGAAAAAAGAGAAAGAAGAGAAAACAAACTTACTTGTATGCCAAGGTTGCACTGAAGTGCTGTTGGATATATGCTTCCAAAACAGTGTTAAAGTGCTGAAACTTACGGTCTGCAATGAGCCCTATGATATAGATCTAAACAGACACGCACACAATTAGCCAGAGTCACATTGAGAACTTAAATATTATCTTCCTAGAAGAATTTCTGGTAATTTACTATTTAAGTTTTAAAAGAAATTTGATTTTCAGTTAATGAGTAATATTCCTCCGTTCTATAAAGACTTTAAGACTAATTCTCTGAACTGAAAAACTTGATAGTTTGTTCAAAATTCTAAGGTTCTCTACTTTGACAGATAAACTCATTGGTGCTGATTCTTACCAGTGCATCAAAGACAAGGATGTCATACTCATTACTGTGGGAATGCTCCATCATGATGTTAAACAGGGCATCCAATGTATCCTGGAGAAACTGCAGAACATGAAAAGACAAACTGATAACCAATTCAACTTGAAAATCTCACAAGAAAATTTTCTGATAGTAAACTTCCACAAGCTAGAATTTTACTACCTTTACTGAAGCATCCCTTAAATTAAGAAAACATTTCCAAGGGTTTAGGCTCTAGTTGGTTTAATTTTAAGAACCTACATCCTCAGACACATGAGCAATCAATAATTAGCTTAGCTCAAAGCTTATGGAAAAGATAAAAAAATTATATAAATGACAAAACTTGCTAAAACTACATTCCTTAGTGACACAGATTAGTGGTTGCTATCTTCACATATACATGTTGATTAAAAAGAATTTTCCTGCTGCTGTGGTCTGATTCAAATTCTGATCTAAATCAAAGTACCTCAGTGACTTGGGACACAAATCTTTGGTTTAAGAGATCCACTCCTCTTTTCCTCTTTCTCCAGAGACAGCTTATGTTTATGTTTAAAGACACAAAGGTAATAGTATCTGCCATTTTCCAAAATACTAATAGTTTTTATTCATATACTCCTTAAGTTAAGAAAGTGCTTTGTTGGGTACATAACACTTCTTGAATTAAATATCAACATGTAAATTAATATTAAAAACTGAAAAGAAAGCAGTAGGAATTGTTTGGAATATTTCAGATAGACAAAGGGGAATAGATGAATAGAGAGTGTGGAAAATATTTTATCATTACTATCTTCATCTCCTAGTAATAATCTTAGAAATCCCCCAGCCTAACAATAGCCAATAGCAGAGATATCTGAAATTAAGAAGTAGAAGGAAAGCTGGCCAGCCCTGTGAAGAATACTGTCCAGTTGCTGGTTTTCTTGCTCCCTCTAATGAAGAGTTTTGCTCATGTCCTTTGCAAAGTAACAAAGGCATTGTGTACGAAGAGCCCTGAAAAATAACTATTATTTGAATAACAATTTAAAGATTTACCTTCACTACTTCCTCTCCATCCACAATCTTCAGCTTTTCCAGGTTTTCCTGAAGCAGCTCTGGCTTCATGCGCCACTTCAAGAGACCCAGCAAGCCCACTGATAGAAAATAAATGGCCAGACATTAAAATGTAAAATATGGCTTATCCATTTGTGCAAAACTTTTCTTTCTAAAACTCCCACCTCCTTAGAAGGTACATACCATTCTGAGTTAACTTTGTAGAACAAACAAGAGTTGAGATGTAAAATGCATCTCTAGAGCTGACTGAAAGCCCCCCAACAATACTTGAGCTCCTGACTAAGGTTGCTCCTTTGTTTTCCATGTGCAGACGTGTAGAAGGCAATGCCAAATAAGCACCAGCATCCTCCATTTTTTTACTGTCCCCCTGAAAAACAACACATTGTTCATTACGTATTTCACACCATCAGATTTAAAATTAGACTCATTTTGTACTTTCTAGAGAAGTAAAAAAAAATTGAGGAGCAGGAAGGGATTTGAGGGGTGACACCCCCAGCAGAATAAAAGCAAGAGCAAATCTCTCTTTAAAATGTCAGTGGGTGTGGAACACTGAAGAATAGTGAAGACTGTACACAGGATATAGACATGATTATAATGTCTGCACACAACTTAAAAGCAGAAAACAGGGCTGAGTAAGGAAAGAACAGAAGCTCTGTTTTGATATCCTCATTATAACTTTATACCTGGACCTTGAATATAAAAGATCAGGGCATGGTAAGATTACATTTTAAATCGGACAGCATGCTGCAGTAACTAAATGAAATAGAATATGTGCTTTTCACCTGAATGAACAGTACAAAACCAGAGAGCCAACAGAGATTTTTCCCATCTCCCTTTCATCAACTTCCGTGCCGCAATCCCACAGATTTTCTGGGCCTTAGGATTCTCCAGACAGGCAAGGAGTTTTAGACAAAGACAATAAAAATCATGCTCCTCACTGTTTAGAGAAAACAGTATTTCTTTAACAAAACTACTCCAGAAAATTTCCCTGATGAATTTGAGATGTCACTTAAAGCTACAGCACTGTGACAAGATATGACTCAATTGCAGACCTTTAGTCTACAAATGAACAAGGAGCTGCAAAAACCATGATCTAGAAAGACATTTCAAAGTTTTGCAGTTTTATCTGGTTCAGTCACTGTGGATGTGCAGTTTCTACTTTGTATCAAAGAGGTAAGGTTAAAAATTGACTGTAGGAGTGCTAGATAGACAAGAAGTAAAACCTTTATGCAGCAAAACACACAGCGGTACCAACATCTATAGTTGTATCAGGCTTGCCAAATAATTACTTCCCAGATTTCTGCAAGCAAAAGAAACTCTTGACTTTCTCTTTTTGGGACAAGACAGACAATGGGAAAAAGATGAAGTTTTGATCCAAAAGTCTCTCAAAAAGATCCAATGCCTAAAGACAGTTTAAACTTAGCAGTTTTCAAGTTAATTTTTTTAAGAGGCCAGGTGTATGACTGCTTTAAACACAGCTTACAATTACTGTTTTTAATACTAGAATAGGCAAGCATATGTCAGAAAATCTGTCTGTTACTCACAACCATAAACGAGGTCAACTCCATTTAGAATTTCTCATCCATGCTATCACTTCAAAAAAAATTACTAAGCTGATGCAGAAATGAATTAGGTGGAATTTCATAACCAACATTAACCACACAGTCCACAATTTTCCTTCTAGTCTCAATATTTTAAATGATAGTTTCAAAGGTAAATAACTCTATGTTGCCATTAATCCCTTTTGGCTTGCCTAAGAAACTTGATTTAGTTGCATGCTTGGTATTAATGATACAGCAAACTTGTTTACTGAGAGTAATCAGTGGAGCCAAAGAGTGCTGAGAAATAACCTAAGTTTTCTTTGTACTGGAAGTGATTTCTGATTCTTAGTTCCTGCTGGACACCATTCTCCAAGAAGGCAAACAAAATTTGAAACATCTGTTCCCTGCTTCCTTCACAAAGTCAAAGATGCTGTTTCCAGCTGGTGGCAACTAAAGCCATTCTTCACACCCAAAACCCAAATTGCTGAAACTTTCACTTTGGTACCTGAGGAACTACACAGTAGTTTAAAATAAGCATTTTCCTAAGACTGCATTCCCAGATTATCCATGAGGTAAAGATTTAAGTCAGTCAAACATCTCCCATATCCAGCAAGAGGAATGATACCCACCCAAGTACACAGCTGCAGCACAACTTGCTCTATACTACAGACGGCCAAAAACACAAATATCAGTAAAAAGAGCAGTCATGTCTCACTGCTTAGATAACATCTTTATGTCATTAAAATGCAGGGCAATATTAACTGACAATGGAACAGGTTGCACCTTTTCAATTTGTTCAGCAGTATCATCTTTGATAGAATAACAAAATCAATCTAGCACTAAGTAAATACACAATGCGGTCAAAGGCAACAGTGTGAAAAAAGACATTTTGTGAGAGGAAAGAAAGAAAGAAATCTGAGCCCATACCTTTAGGACTAACAAATCGTGGATGCCATCATGGAGAGTTGTTCCATCCTCCTTCATTAGTCTTATGTAGGCCATTGCAAAATTCTTTTCTCCCTTATCTTTAGCTACAAAGCAAAATATTTTGGGTTGACTACCCATCGATGAATTAAAATTCAGTAAAGTAAAAATTCCTTACTTACACTCTTGAGTGGACCTGTGCCTGAACATGAAGCGCAGATGAATCCTCTGCATGTCCTCAATGGGGACTGCTACCTTTTGTAAAATCAGAAAATAATGAGAGTTATGGGGGGGTGGTTTGACTTGTAATGAGCACCTATTTTAGAATAAATAAGCCCCACTTCTTCTGTTTCCATAGTGCTTTTCACAGGCCATTTCAAGTAGCAAAGTGGTGGCTGAAAAGCAATGATCTGGTAGACCTTGCTCAAAGTCTGGCACCAGCAAAGAAATGAAGCACTGAACCCAGTGAGTTAATGCACACAGGTGATAGAAAATAATCACAGTGCAGTCCTCTTGCTCACCCTTTTAACCACAGAGAATTAAACACCTCTGCATTAAGCAACTCCCACATTTCAGATACAGAAATTGACAACCAATTTGTTAAACAGATGAAAAGAATAGGAAAATTCCAGCAAAATAAATTGATGGTATTTTAGTGATTAAATTTAGTATAAAGCCTTGAGGAGAATCATAGGAACTTGTAAGGGCTTTATTCTTAAAGCACCATACTTTAGGTCAAACATGCAACAAAGAAGGCAAACTGTGTAAAGGAAAACACAATTTTTCATATTATCAATTTTATAGTTCTAAAAATTTAAGGACTTGCACACCTTTATGAGCATTCACAAAATCCCTTCACAAATCTTACTGAACAATGCCTTTATATCAATTATGATTTTCAACAGGACCTGCTGTTAGCGATCCTGTACACAAGATTGAATTATGGCTCAATGTTTTCAAAACAACAAATAAGCTTCTGTTTCAAATCACACTTCCATTCCCTCTCTGTCCTTCACCATCACAGGTATCACCCCTTAAGGTAATAATAGCAAGCTTGTTATACATGGCTATTTAGTCCTAGAAAAAATCATGCAAGCCTATTACTGCTTTGTAAGAATTGTTTCTGGCAACTTCTGGGCATTTTCCAATCATAAACATTAAAGCTTGATTAGGTAATTATTAGGGTGTCTCTAAAGAGAAGTAACAGCTTTTTCTTTTTGAAATCAGAAGAGGGGGTTGGTATTTTCATTTGGCTTTTGGTTTGGCTTTGTTTGTTTTTTAACTGAAGCTCCTCATCTCCATTGTTTCGCCAAAATAGAACAAATGCAGTATTTCATTTTTGATGAGCCCTCTTAGGACATAAGGTTATCTAAGATGATCTCATTTGTTTTGCTGAACTAAACCTACACATAATTTTCTAGGCCAAATTTCAAGCCTCAGTGATCATGTATCTCTAATAACTGATGTATGACTAAGACTTCATGCTTCGGCTGTAGTCAGGGACAAGATGTATTTTGGAGGAAGCTGATGCTGTATAACCTTTCTGTGTGAGGCATTAAGAAGTGAAAAAAAAAAAGTGGGAAGTATCCACGCCATACCTTCAATGTCTCCATCCATCGTGGCTGCTTGACCTGATAGTAAACAACTGATCTGTACTCGCTGACAGGTTTGTCCCCTGCTCCCAGGCACACAGCATTCTTACAAAAGGAGGGAAAAAGAGTACTTAGTGCCTCATGAATCTGGGTAATTTTTGGAGCAATTTTGGGTAAATTAATTTGAGCAAACACAAAAGGTCACCAGAGAGCCTCCCCTCAGAGTCCCGAGCTGGGAGTTCCTCCCTGGCCCTGGGACACGGCTTCCCCTCACGGGCTCCGCTTCCCGCCCTTGCTGCTGGTTTGAATTTGGACGTAGCATCGTTCAAAATTAAATAATCATGACAGCACCAAGAGGGGGGAAGCACTAACGTGAAGATGCTGCATTTTCCAAGCCTCTGAACACAGAGGAAATTAACATTTACCATAATCTATGGGTACAGCCAGTGTAATTGCATTTTACAGGGGTTACACACAGTGGGCTCTAAGATGTCTGAAGAACAGAAAATCGATTTGATTTCTCCATGTGTTGAATTTAAATAATCAACATGTCATCTCGATTAGTAGAGGAAATACAAAAGGAAAAAAAGAAATCTATCTTCATTATTTTATTTCTCCATTCATTTTTAAATACTTTCTTCCGGCAGACTCTCAGGAGCTCTAGGCCGCACACCAGGGGTGACTTCCAAACTGGATGTGATAGAGGCACCAATAATAAATTAAAAACTCTCATTCTTTAAAGACTATCTGAACTAGGACAGAGCCAAGTGAAAGATTTTATCAGCTTCAAAACTTGTGGTTTTCCTTAGTGATTCTGTGAAGACTTGGCCTGCATCCATCTGGTCTGGCTGACTGCAGCTGAGCTGTACCTGCAGGGTAAAAGCTGGACAGGGAGGCACCATGACACTGACACCTGCCACACATGAAACTGAAGTCCCTGAAGGAAGCAAACATTTCATTCTCTGTTGAAGGTACAGATCCAACTAATCCAATCCAGGTTATACTAACTGCTGCAAAGGGGCAATAATCATGCTGAAAGTCCAGTGGATCTTAAAAGTCTGCTTCAAACACCAGGATGCCCTGTGACCAGACAAATGTGATGCTGATACCTGAGGATGATTTGTATGGTCTGGTCAGAGGGATTAAACTGCAGAAAGAAATGTCTCATCTGCCTGAGCAGAGACTTTTCAAGGTTTATGCACCTGCTTATTTGTCACTTCCGTGACATTCACTTGGAAGAGAAGTTCTATTCCTTGTAACTGTAAATCAAGGGCTGCTTCTGCAGCTGGAACTTGTTTGATACCAAAACAGAACCAACCAGTTTCCTGTGTACTGAACACATACCTGCTATGAGAAACATTAATATAAATTCATAGGTTTGAAAGTCTATTGGTTTGGGGTATCTTTATAGGCTAAAAGGAAAAATCTGTCACTTTTGTTATTACTTGCATTCAACAGCATTTCAATTAAGTCCTTAAAATTGTTGCTTAAATATATCTAAGGCATATTACCTACAGAAAGCAGGTGTGATATTTCCTCTCAAAAACAAGACAAATTCACCTTCTCCTAAGATTTGCAAAAATTACGTATCTGCAGGAGTGAGCATGCATAATATTGGAATGCAAGATTTAATGCATTCTACTTGGTTTATTCCTCTAAGGAATGCTTTTGTTTCTATGTGATTAGACAAAATATATATATATATATATAATATATATATAGAATAGAGTTAGCTTCTGTGCATGCAAGGCATGGTCAGGTGCTGTCATAGGTACAGGCAGTGTTTTGTAATCAGGGCTACAGTTTGTTGTGTGGACCTCAAATCTTATGTGGGATTAAAATATTATTTACTCAAGCTTTCATCTTACATTTTAGGTCAAGCAGTTAGTTGCAGTTCATAAACAAGTCATGAACCACAGTGTTTTACTCCATCTTTATCTCACGAATGTCTTTATGATTTCAGCCTCACAATTCCAACACTATAAAGCTCAGAAAATGACAGGTCAAAAATCCCCCTGAATACCAAACTGGTGATAAACCATAAGGAAAAGACAAAGGATCTACAAAATGTGAATAGACAAGCAAAAAGATACTGTAAATATTTATGTTGCATATGTAATTGCTGTCACTAATTTCTTTCTTTGCCATGTACTTAGACCAAGTGACAGTGACACAGACTTCCTGGCACAAATCAAGCATTTGTTATGTAGCAGAAATGGTATTTCTAACATTTCAGTGTGCAAATTGCATTCCTCTGGGAATTTCCTCTAGCAAAACCCTAGAGTAAGAATGCAGTAATTGTCAGAATCAGCATTTGTTCCCTGGCACAGCTAAAATAGGTCATTCAATGTTATTCCAATATTCCTTATACATTTTTATGCAAGATTCTACAGGGCTTTAATAAGCAGATCACTTTAAAAATCATAAAACTTATTTGTCACAGGATGTCATAGGATGACACAAGTAAGGGAATTGACTTTTTGAATAGTGGTGTTTTATAAAATGTGTAAATTGAACCTTACATCAAAAATGCAGCTCATGTTTCTATGTCCCTCATGGAGGAAAAAAAGGAAAACTTACTGGCAACACTTTTCCTTCTTCATCACAGACACACATTATCACTTCCACATTTCTCTGAGTTGTTTTATTGTATTTATCAAAATCTCCATACAGCAATGTAATATATATGTCATTTCTTATATCTCCTAAAAGAGAAATTGAAAGGTTAAAAAGCAATTAAAATGCTCTAAGAGCATAGGATCGGCTGAACTGCACACTGTTTGCTTTGAAGCAGATAAAAATTTATTATTTTTCATCTGAACTTAAATTTTCAGGTCTTTATCTTTGCTATGGCAAAACTGTGATGTGAGGAGAAGCAAATGGGAGCTCGGAGTGACTGGAAGCAATTCTCGTCCTGCCCCGACACCTGCTGGTGAGGTAGCAGATGATCCCATTCGGAATTTTCCCCAAATACTCAGCTCTCTTTCTGGAGGGAGCTTCACATTTTAATTCTCTCCTCCAAACGAATTCACATGACTTTTAAAAGGATCGAAATTTTCCTTGATTTGGGGTGAGGGACGTTTTCATTATTTGTTTTTTAAAAAAGGAGCCTGCCAGACAGCAAGTGATCTCGATTGGAAACATCTTGTCATACAAACAAATGAAATCAAGGTATTTCAAATTCATTTGTTTATTATTAACAAAGAGCAACAATATCTTAAAATAAAAATGAGGTTAATTTAAAATTCAAGTGACATCCACCATCATCTTCTTGCAGGATAAGAAAGTTATGTACAAGGAGATATTTTTATTTGTCTGGATTTTATTTTTCCTGTTTAAGAATTAGAAACTACTTTCCAAGGATTTCACTATTTCATATAAGCCTCTAATATGGGAACAAAATTTACCATAAGTGAATGCTAAAGATCCTCTGAGCCATTACAGAAATAACTAAGGCAGCAGCTGATGCTTATTAACTTAGGAATGAGAAAAAATCCCTTCCTATCACAGAACAAAGCACCTCCTACCTGGCATGATTATTTCAGGGAATCCCAGCTTTCTAGCAACAACCGTGGTTCTGTCTACAAGGTGTGGGTAATCCTTTCTAGTCTGAATCACGTCTCCAACCAGCATTTTCACAGTTGGGTAATCCTTTCTAGTCTGAATCACGTCTCCAACCAGCATTTTCACAGTTACCCACAGACCTATTAAGTGGGGAAAAAAAAAGGAAACAAAAAGGAAAAAAAATTACATTTATAGTAGGAAAAAAAAAAAAATCTGTGTTCAGATGATTGCCTCTTCTACCCACCAAAATAGGGATAAGAATTTGCTTTCCCCACTTCCTGTAGATGAAAGTAAAAGCTTGTAATGCAAAACTGTCACTACTAATTTAATTTGCTCCCAAGATTCTGTAACAAACTCATGGTTCCTCACTCCAGCTTCAAAGCTGACCCACCTCCATTGTGTTACTACAGCTGCAACATAAAATGAAGTCTCACAAAAATACCGTGTAACTTAAAACAAGAAAAATGTACTTTACCTTGTCCACCACTGTCTCCTTTGGATGCAGTGATTTTGCTTAGGAGACTGTGTAAAAAGTCATTCTCTGCCACTACCCTGCAAGAGAAACAGCCATGTCTGCTCAGGATCTAAGTGCTAAATATATCAGACACCATTTAGAACATAAGTGAGTAACAGCCTCAGTCTTTGCAGTATTGCCTGATTGAGATATATCTGGTATTTTTATTATCTCTCACGCAAGCTGCAGCCCACTCACATTCCACTGTGTGTACACTGAAGTGAAAAGACTCAGGCAAGCACCAAGAGTGGTGTTTTGTGGCAGTGACAATGTGAATGCACTCACCAATGTGCCACTCCAGCTCAGTCCATGCTCCCTGACAAACAGCCAGAGAAATTCACTTGGAGTTTGTATCAGTTACTTTTGAATTTAGAAACAAATTCTCACATAGCAAGCAAGTTGGGTCAAATTGGAAGCAAGTGAAAAAATAAACCAGTGTGTCATAGCTGGCTCTTTCAGAATTAAATTCAGCCTCCATAGTACATAGCTGCAGTGCTATGTAGGACACAGAGAGTTATTTCCGGTATTTCCACTGGTATCTCTTCATTTGATCTGTGAGCATCACATTTTTAGGCAGCTGCCCTGGCATTTCTTCTGAAGATAGTATATGATAATTCTATTACTTTTTAAAGGAAACACAGTTTTTACTCAGATTTTTTTTTTCATATTCTAAACAGAACTAATCTCATAAAATAGTTGTTATCCTTGCTTGTAAATCTAACTTGTAACTATTTGACTTGGGTTTGTGAAATCAGACATGGTACCAGCTGTCTAAAGGAGCACATTCATGGAATTATTCATTAATTTAATGTGCTGTGGTACCTCTGCAAGTCTTAAATGCCATTTAGTCATACCCCAAAAATTAGCATTATTACAACATAAAATTGTTAAAGAAAAACTTCCTTATTCTTTAACAGTTTCACAGATTGTTACAGCCACAGAGGTAGACAAATATTTTCTTTCACAAATTAAAAAAGATATCTATGATGCTCTTACGGATGAAAGGGAATGAAATGCTGCTTTTCTTCGTCACTTTCAGATTTTCCTTTTATAATATCTGTAATATCCATGACTAGAAGAACAGAAGAAAAATCATCAGAACATATAAGAGCATTTCAGAATAGTTTCTCTTATCAGTGAGTGCTCTTGTGCCTCAAGGTAAATGTGGATTTTCACCAGCAGGGGTGGGTTTGTGGGGTAGAACATTTTGTGCAAAGTCCACACTACAAACACATTGCTGTGGAGGGAGAAGGAGAATTCAGTCTAGTTTTAGTACAAACTTGTGAATACAAGTATCAAGCTTTGGTGCTGCTTTTTGGGACATAAACACTGACTTTATCTCATCTGCAAGGGAACCTGTTATTAAATTGGTTCTGTGCTTTCTTTTGCACAGTTTGGCACTGTATGAATAATTAGGAAATGAAATTCAAAGGTGCATTTCTGACTTGAACTAAAATGTCAATGCAGGTGCAGTCTTTACTGACTCCAAAGAGTACAGAAAACAGTTGATAGAGCTCATGGGTATTCTGACATGTTTTGGTAGAGATTTTACTAGTTCAGGGCTGGCAAAAATCACTGATATTCTGATTCAGCCTTAGCACAGGGGACAGCAGGTACCTGCCACGCCAAAGGGCCGCCGCAGCCCTTGTGTGTATTTCCGTGAGTTACTGTCTCTCAGGTCCATCCTTCCCACTCGCACTATTTGGCAAACTAAATATATTTTGTCTCTGCTAAGGTCTTTATTTCCAAGATCCTATGATACAAACAAAAAAGAACCATAGTGTTACTTGGGGAAAAAGCAAGTTGTGAAATTGAATCAGGAGCTCCAGTAATAAACTGAATCTTAGCAATCAATGGGGGGGAAAAAGTAAACAAAAGGCCCCCAAACCAAACAAACCCCCAAAAACTCAACAAACAAAAAAAAACCTGAGCACATCAAAAGAATGAAAAAACAGTTTAAAGTTTGAAAAAAATATGAGGTTAGATAAATAGAAAATAGCAATCATGAGATATAGAAGATAAAACCAAATAAATCAAGTTATCAAGAAATTCATGAGGCAGCAAAGTGATCTGAAGAAGCACTGTCACTGCCTTAAAGAATTTAGTGACTGGGCACCTTGCTCTGTTTCTAAGATGACCTCTGCTTCCTTCTTCATCTTGGTCACTCTTTAGGAGATCTGACAGTGACCACAGAGAAGAGAATTTCATTTGCAAATACAAATGGAAGTAGCCTGGAAAACACTTACTGTGAACACCACTTTGAGATTGTTGAGCATATCAATTTCCTTTGGAAAGCCTCGACTCCCCCATCTCACCAAGTAGTTCTCACTGTTTGGAAGATAAATATCTTATTCAAGTGATTAAAAAATTCTCCCTTTACACAGTACAAAAGTTGCATAACAGGCAGTCTGCGGTGATGGCTCAAATCTGACTAAGAAGACAAGAAAAACACTATACAAGTATCAACAGTAAGTTTTAAAAGAGTAACTTGAACATAACACAAATGTGCATCTTTTTTTCTTGACTCAACTTTACCATCATCACTTGATGGGAATACTCCAAAGAATCTTAAGCTACCCAGAAACTGATAAATTTAATTATTTAATTATTTAATTTCTTTTTTCTGCTCCTCCCCCTTCAGCACTTCAAACACCACAATATTGCCCATCTAGAACAATCTCTAAAATTTGAAATCAGGCTTTCCCAAACTTCTGAAATGTTCAATCCAGGAATTACCTATGAAAATATTTGGAAACATCGAATCCTTTAGTAGCAGACAGCAAAAAGATCCGTCCACGCTTTACTTGGCTTTTTGGGTTCATTCCCTTTATTTACATATTATTTGCATTATTATATTATTACAGCACATTGGTAATTATTTTACTTCATTTTGGCCGGCTCTATTTGCTTTTTTATTTTATTTTGCTTTCCATAACTCTTCTCCAGTCAGAGGAGGAAGCTTTACCTTATAATTGTTGACTTCTGTGGATCGTACAGGGACATAAAGAGCTCTGCATCCTCTCCAATTCGGCAAACAAAATTCCTCACAAAGACATACAGGCTGTGCGTGGGGGATGAAGACATTCGGGAGTATGATGCATAATCTGGTTGGTCCTTTGACTGCTCAGGAGGAGGAAAACCAGGTAATTATAATCCATTAATTGAAATGGTGCTATACTACAAGCAGTTTTACTTTCTGGTAAAGTTTGACTCAGTAATTATCATAATTCTCTTCCACCTTGAGCTATTCTATGACTCCCATGTCTTTGGCCAGTTCTTCAGGCAATGATGTAAAGGGGGAAATATTCTCCCCACTCTTAAAGAAAAGAGCAAGTACCACAATGTCAGCACAGAGACAAGCCTACAAGTTTGAAAGAATTTATTTTTGAACACACTAGGCTGTAGCAGAAGGCCTATGATCCACATCACAGTGGGGTTGCAGTGTGCTAGAGCAATAGCAAAATGAAGTCAGTCTCTTTGAAGAGGAGACAAATAACATGCTGAGATCAGGATACAGCTGAGCAGGTTCACTGACTCAAAAACAGGCTCCTGAATTCTACCTACTTCCCATGCTAACCACCAAGAAGAAGCTTCTTAACACTTCTAAACCCATTGTTTGTCTCTATCAAGTCAGCACAGTCTATCACAGAGTCCCAAGTTTAATTTTCCTTATATTGTCAGTTAATTACAAGGTGTTTTCCAGTGATTTGTCATGGGTGTTATTAAGTGTCATGACAAACCAGCTATTTTCTGTTTAGTGTTTTACTTGCTTTTTTATGGTTTACCATCTCACAAATGGAGAAAAGAACCAAAGAGGCTCACAAATCCTTGCAGAGGTTTAAAATTGCAAAAGGTCAAGGAAGTGTAGTCACCTGCTTTGCATTTTAAAAGATTTAATTTATGCACTTGTCAGCTTTGCTTTGGCACATGAACTTCTGGTATCCAGAAGATTATGCTGAATTCATCCTAGCTCCTCCTCAGTGAGCTTCAATTCTTCAGCTCAGTCAGACTGACTAGCAAGCAGCAACACTTAGCAAACAGTGCAGTCACAAGATCTTGCGAAAACAAGCTGTGGGCAGTGCTGCTCTGCCTGAGCTATAAGTGTGTAACTATTCCCTGTGCCATTCAGACTGTTGAGCAGCCCATGGATGGAGTGAAGCCATATTTCCATACAGGAATTCAAGAATGGATCAAGAACAGCTTTAGACATGAGCTTGCAGCCCAGCCCACAGCCCAAATCCACTGCACAAATGCAATTCAATTTGAGGCTTAGCCGTATTTATAACACAAGACTGTGGATCTACTCTTAAGTCAGAGGAAAGTTTCCACCAGATCTTATGGTTCCATCCTTCAACCCTTAGGCAAGTTTTTATTTGGCTTTTAAGAAAGGAAGCCTCAAGTTCAGCCAGTCATTCCTACCATTTCCTCTTTAATTCGCTCAGTGATTTTATTAGTTGCTTCTTCATGTGCATGAAACAGGCTGATAACACTGGTTTTATCTGGGTCCAGGATATTTCCATCTTCATCTCTAACTATCAGGTCTAGCTCAAGGACTCTGTGAAAATACAAAAGGCATAATGGTAGGGTTATTTCCTTCTATATAAAGAAAGATTAGAAATGTAACAAACAAGGAGGCACTTAAAGATTTAGTTATAAAATTTAAATATATGCAACAGTATTTCACTGAAGAAAAAATTTAACTGTACCCCATGTTTTTTTAAGCTGCTGTCCAATATTTAGTAATTTATAGAAAGGTCACAAAAGCATTGAAATGCCTCTCACATAAAACAAAACCACCCTGTTCAATGACTTCTAGCAGTCTTCGTCGCTTTTTGCTTTTAACACTCAACATTTGTTATTCAGATATTTATGGTCTTCCTGTGACCTTCTGCTTTTATGCTGCTCCCTCAGCCTTTTTATCCCAATATTTAACTCTGCTCTCTTCTGCCCTGCTCTCATATGAATAATGTCTTTTTTCTGCTACTCATTTTCCTTCCCCCACAACAATCCCCTCAGCCTCCACTGCCATTTCCCCTTTATTCCTTCTCCGCAGATTGGCAACTTTCCTTCACACCACACAACTCAACCCCTCACTTTCAGGAGCTTACAAACATTTCCCAGCTAAAATTAAAATAATTTTAAACATCCCCTTCACCCCTACTCTTCCAAAGGAAGCACTTTACAGTCTCATAACACAGAAAGAGTATAAAAGTGACAAAACAGAAGTCTGAAAGCAAATTAATTTTAATGTCTTAATCACTGCTGGGCTTCTTTTATTGGAGAACTTCAAAGTAAATTCTGGTTTTAAGTGAGCATCCAGCTCCACACAGTGCAGTAGGATATGTGTATTCCATAGTGTGCTCTGTATGATTATAATTTATTACAAATTTGCATCCAAATCACAGTGAACAAGTTAAGAATTTCGTAACACCTTGAGTCATTTCTTATGTGCAGCCACGGGTAATTGTAGACTTTCAGCTGCACAGAGGCCTTTCAGGTCACAACAACCACAGTCACTCAAAATAGCTAAACACAGTTTATAAGCAGATTCTAATGCCTGTAAAAACAATACTGTGAAGATTTTTTTACCAAGCTCTCTCTCCCCTGTCTCCTTATCAGATGGGGAGACACCATTAACCACAACCCCACAATTTTGCAAAAAAATACGTTGCGTTGAAGTGACTTTTTATTAGCAAGGAGCAGACAAGACATTTTATCAAATAACTGTTCTGTCCCTGGTAGTTTCACTTCTATTACCAGAAGCAGAGCAGTGCCTGGAAATTCCCTAGTGAATTGGGTGTGGATGTGTTTGTTTGCACTCAGTGCAGTTTGTCAGTGCCACTTTTGAGGGTCACTTACCGGACATAGGTCATGTTTGTGACACATGGACAAGTTTTGGGCCCCAAATATGCTGTTGATACATGTACCTAGAGGCTGTTTATCTGACCTCAAATCTTCCCAACTGACAAGTTCATGTATTTATAATTAAGAAATAAATTAATATTTTGAAAAAGTATTTTGTTATGGAAAGCCTCATTGTGGTATCCACTATCAGCACAGGAGTTACAGAAGTCTGAAGAGGAAGATTCACACTTTTGAATTCCAACCTGTAAACATGAAAACTTTATCAACATCTCCTTGGTGCTGTGCTTTAAACTAAATCATGCTTTCCAGAAGCAGTGTAGGCCACTTACTTGTTACCATAGTCAATTTTGGATGTGACTTTCTGTTTGAGTTCTTTGAGCTCATCTTTTGGCAGGGTCCCGGACAGAAGCTGTGACCGCCACTCCATCAAGTCACACATCATGGACTGCACCTGCTGGAACCGGGCTTTTTTATTTGTCTAAGAGATAAAAAAACCTCAGTAAGTTTCAGACTTCAAGTTGAAGTGAAACACTGGGCTTGACAGCTACAGGCTACATGTCATATTTAATGCTAAATGATAGCGGGAGCAAGAAGTAGGCAAAATAATGATGTCTCATCCCACAAATTTTTAAGGATAGAATATCCCACATGATATAATGAAATAACATCAAATTTTGTATTGGGATAGGGAATTGTGTTATTTTTGTTTCATTTAATTGTGTTGTTTTAAAATTCTTTAACAAATTCTCATCAAGAGAAAACTTACAACAACTATTAACTTCAGTATGAGATACTGATGGGAACAATAACACTTGATTGTGGCAATAACACATTTAAGAGAAAAATGAGAGGATACACTGAAGTGACTAAAGCAGTTCTAATGTCATTCACTGAAAATAAAGAAGGGTTTTCATTGCTGGCTTAATCAAAAAGACTAAAAAGTGACATGTTTCAGAAAACTACAGCACATTCAAGATCCCTTTGTCCCAGCAGAGATAAAGAAAAACCCAGTGGCTGGGATCCTGGAATAGTCAGCACAATTCTTGAAATTGCCAATTGTTAATAGCTACTTGCTCCCAGTAACTCTTGAACAACTTCTGTTCTAGCAATCCAAGAGCACCATGAATCTTTTTCAAAAACATCCCAATTATCTTTTATACTCCTATCTGGAAACTTTTCAATGCTACAAATCAAAATTATGAAGAATTTATCATGCACAGGATACTCAAGGTTGAAACAATAGGTGAGAAGTTACAGCACTCCTCAGCAATGTCAGCTTTGCCTTTACAGAACCACAGATTCATCCACGTTGGAAGAGATCACCAAGATCACCAAGGCTGATGGCTGGACCAGATTAAAGTCACTAAACATTTAAAGCCACTGAAGAAAATCTTAGTAGTGAGAAAGCAATTTCTAAAATCCACCCAGACCCTGCCCTGAATGTAGGAAGAGGCACTAATTTGAACAAGACCCCAGTGTGCATAAACAGGACTAACAGGTAAGAAACAGCATGTAAAATATCCTACCACATAGAGCTGCTTCCAGATGTTTCCCCATTCCCACAGAGTAGTGGTAACTTCTTGGACTAAGGGAATCTCAGCAGGTATAACATTTTCTGTATGTCTAGGAAAGATCACAAAGAGTGTCTGCATTTCATGGGTGCATATTATACTTACTGGGGGTGAGGTACATAAATGCCTTAAAACTCATTCTTTAGCAGACAAGCTCAATAATGTAATAAAACAGATAAATTCAATACCTTTTCTTTTCTGCAGCAGCTTCCTTGATGTGGATGAAGGATTTAGGAAATATTCCCTGATGAATGAGAAGAAAATTATAAATCTACACTTATTCTCCAAAAATATTTAGATGACAACCATGACCGTGAACATAAACTGTAATACCCAAGTTAACTCCTGGTTAGTTTTTCATCCACATGGATGCATTTTTATTTGACAGATAAATAATAGAAGTTTGTCATATCTCTTCAAATGTAGAGTGCATAGGCATTTTTCTTCCTAAGAAACACCATTTTCCACCCCAGAAAACAGTTCAGTTAAATAAAATTTAATAAAATACAATTTAAATTCAGTAAAGAAACATTGAGTCAGTGCATCATCTCATATCTATTTTAACTGACCTCTCTAGAAAACAAATGAAAAAAAGTTCTAATGTGATTGTCCTTGCTCTACAAAAGCTGAAATGTCTCAAGTCATCCTAAAGGAATGTTTGACAATCATTCTGTCCTGACAATCTTCCCCTGAACTGGCAAATCTCACCCTGGTAATTAATTAGATCTTTCCTGGATTCTTCTTTATTCGGTAATTCACATATGGTACTTCAAGTACCACAAAAATTCAAGAACAAATGTGCTACTTTACAAAGCCTTTCTCTGAATTAGATTGTGGCTTTTATAACCATTTTCTTCTAAGCACTTCATCTTAATCAAAACACAAAATCATGTCTTATCACTTCCACTTTTTTTCATTATGATTAAAGTTCAAAGAAGTCCATGAAGAAGCAAAGTAAAAGAAAAAAGGTCCCAGTAATGGTAAATTTAGTGATATCTTAGTACATGAAATTAATAATACTTCTTAAAGCATGTTATGCACGATGATCTTGAAGCCCTTTAGCAATAATAGGAATTAATTAAGAATTCGTTAAAAGGAAGTGGTTAGTTCTGGTAAATATTTTCCCTTTTTAGTTTTAGGCTAAATTTTAATTGATAAAAATAGAAATGTTATGTAGAATAAATGCTAATAACATTTTCAGTCAAAAGAAATGTCAAAGTAATGAAAACACAGGTGCAGTGTTTTAATACATTTACATTGCTGCTCCCTAGAAAATCTTATACCAAGAAGTTACAAACAAAAATGTTTTTCTTCTAGAAAAGTGCAGTTGAAACTAAGAAGTAATTTTCTTGCTACTTAACTCAGGAGTCATCATACCCAGGGTAAAAACTTTTCCTCATTTTCAAATCTAAGAATATAATATTTTAAAAAATTAATATTATTTTTGTACATTAGAGATATTTAAGAACTTAAGCCTCATACAAGTTGTTTATATTGTTTGTAACCTAAAGAATCCTTGGGAAAAGTACAGAAACAAGCGCATCTGGCAGAAAACTGATTCAAAATTCAATCCAAGAGGTGGCTTCAACAGTAGTTAACCTGAAGGCACAGTCATTTCTTCTTCATTGATCTGCTTTCCCCAGTCCTCACTTCTATTTACCAACTTTGTCTGGGATGAATGCTGATCATTTTATTCATCTTGAAATGAGAGAGTGGAAAGAGCTGACTTGAGAGATCAGAACAGAGAGATCAGGACTATGTAGGCAGAGATACCCAAAACCCCATTTCATGGGCTGAGCCCTTAAAAACAGACTCATAGGAACAATGGGATCTTACCTCTGCTCCTTTGTACCTCACTAGGTAACCCTTGTACCAATCTGAAAGGAAGAAAGATCACTTGGTATGACAAAAAAACCACGCATTACAAAGCACACAATGAAGTTGTGGGGTTTATTTCACATAAAAAATACCTATCATGGTATTTGTCAAAATTAATAGTTACTTCAAACACACATAGCTTAAAGGGAGTAGCAGGGATTATATCCAGCATGACTTGTTTTTGTTATCAAATATGATTGTTTTGTCTGCTTTTAAGCCTTGCACAGTAATAGTAGAATAGTAACAGATAATTGTACACAGAATCTAATACTCCCTGCTCACATTTAAAGGTAAAATAAGATATTTGTTTTGCAAAGTAATGTGTGCACACCCTTAAATATCTATGTTAGCCATGACCCCCATAGTCCTGGACAGCAAATGAAGCTTTTACTGTGTGCTGGGCCCAGTATTAATCCAGTAAAGCACATGGTTGTTACAGATCCAATTTCCTTCAATGTGATAAGGTTAAGTCATTTTTGTTCCATGAGAAAATATGGCTTTTGGACTCAGCCATAACAAGCAGCTTCTTGGTATAAATTTAAATTGGAATGTCAAGAAAACTCAGGGCTATTATTGGGCTCCTGCTCCAATTGTAACTCGAAAGCCCTTCTGAAAGACAGGGGTGCAGAACTGCAGCAGTGACAAGCTACAAATTAATTCAGGCTTTGTTCCATCTATTCTATGGTTAAGTCTCAATAAACTACAAAAAACATAAAAAGCAGAGTTCAACCTTACTAAATAAGATCAGGGGCTACATCCACTGTGCATACAGCCCAGTATGAAAAATCACCTGCACATCAGCAATGTTTAACTCTGTTGAATTTGATATTTTTCATCCCATAGACAGAATTTGTGACCAAAAGCATACATTTCCTAATTGTAATTTCATGAGCAGATATGATATCTTTGCTATCACCCTTTCTCTCACAGGTAATGCAGCCATGGAAGCAAAGCATAAAATAATAAAAATAAATTCCAAATGCCAACCAGCACAGTCAGAAAGGTGATGCTAAAAGTCAGAGGATAATAGCTGACCTCAAAGAAAGACTCAAGACAGAATTTTTTTTTAGGTTTTTCTGCAGTGGTATTTTTTTCTTAAATGTTTTATCAACAATAAAATTCCATCTTACTGCTAAAACTGAATTATCTGCACATAGTCTCAATTTACAACTGAGTCTGTAAAACAGGTTTCCTCCTATTTGCTGTGACAGCACATATATGTTCTGTGCATAAATTTTGTGCATGCAAAACCAACCGAAACAGGACATAAAAGGAGCACAGGAAGAATCCTGTCACTGTTGGTTACTCGCCAGCTGCAGCTGGCAGCAAATTTTGAAGATATCTCATAAAAGATGAACTTCACTCACACAATGAGAAGGATTCCACTTCTTCATTGACAAATCTATTTCATAAAGCAAGGCATGACAGAGCAAATCAAGGGCAGGGGATTCAGAAAAGACTTCTACATAAAAAATAACCCCATAAGATCAGCACTCCACTCACTAGGCTGGGCTGATAACAAATGGACCCCAGGAACCCAAAGCCTGAAATGCAATTTCTGCAACTAACACACAATAAAGGGATGAGAAGGTTTCTGGTTTGTGAGTGTGTGTGATTTGTTCTTAGCCAAAATGTTTAGAATGGAGGCCTAAATAATTACATTTTTTTTAGGGGAGGACACAAATCACTGTGACTCCGTTGACTGCTGAGTGACATCAATGTTTTCACTGATGCTTAAAGATATTGAATTAATCTTACAAACAGAAGAGAAATAATTACGTTTTTGTGCTCCAGTACATTGTAAACATGGTTTTTCAGGTGCTCCTCCCCCAAATCCTTTGTTCTTTCCGGACAAAACAACCTAGAGCTTTGTGTGGTGGAACGGGCTGGGTTCAAACAGCTTTAAAGTCTTTACAGCCCTGTGCCCACAACACACCAGGTGTGTCAGCACCCAGCTGGCCCTGCCACTGTGCAATGCAGCAATTGGCCTCTCTCTTTAACATAACTGCAGTTAATAAAACACATCTTCTATCAACAGAAGTAGGTTGAAGAAGATAATTTTATAATATATTTTTCAAAGCTTTAAGCAATTTCAATTTTTTTTTTTAAAAACTCTTGGCCTGGTCAAGAGCATCACTGCAAATTGAAAATAAATCGCTGTTACAGTGACATTTGCAGATACCTCACTGCTGAGTTAGCAGTAACAACTCCACTCTCCTTGCTTTGTACTAATGGGAGCCTCAGCAGCTCTGTCAGACAGAGAGAATCTGTGGGATTGGGGAGATATTGACTGTCCATCAGTCATGACTTGGACTTTTTCTGCTTCATGTGCTCAGTAAGTTGTTTGCTTCCAGAACTGTTTCTATCATGCTGACACTCAGATTTCTTTAACTGGGTTTCCTCACTGTACAACAGGATGATGAGGGTGCTCAATATCTCCTAGTAACAAAGATTCAGTTTAGAGGCTGAAAGTGGATTCCTTTAACTCTTAAATCAAATTTAATGTAACTTCCCTGAGGTATATCACAAGCTAGCACAAACTTCAAAAACTCAACATTCACCTTGATGACTTCCTCATTTGGTAAAGGCATCCCAAAAAACCACATGTACTGTAATATGTCTAATTTTGGCTGTTCAGAAAAGATTAGGTTCTTCCTCAAAATACACCACCACCACCACCACAAAAAATAAGGGCATTAGAAAGCTGCTGATGTAATACAGGGAACTGCTGTGAAGTGAAAGGAGTATGTTATGCACAATGAGATGGAAAATGTGACTTACCCTCACAGGACTCCAGGATATGGACCACATCACCAATCTGTAGAGATAGTTGTGGTGTCCCTGTGCCTTTGAAATTGTATATAGCTGGGGAAAAAAAAGGATAAAAACAATATTTTCCAATACAGCCTCACATCACAGTGAAACTAAAAAGCACATGTGGTTATTAAGGTTTGGATACTGGGATCAATACACTAGGCTAGACAAACAGAACTATAATTCTATCAAGAAGCTTCATTTGTCAGCATTAAATAATCTCTTTTCTCCTGAGAATGGAGAAGTGGTAAAAAGGGCCAGTGCTGAAAGCAAAAACCAAACAAATGAACCCCACAGAAAACTCAGCAGGCACAGGGACACCAGCTATTAATCAGCACTGCACTGCACAGGATTTAGGAGCCCTGTTCAGATGCAGGTCTTTGATAAATACACAGTCACAGTGCTGGGGAACTGTTTGTCTACTGGTCCAAAGGATTTAAGCACACAGTTTACTGAAATTTATGGCTATACTGGTATGAAAGGTCACAGAGGTGCCTGTGAAAACTGAATTTACTGAATTTTTTTCCTGAGTTTAAATGCTTTAATTTAACATGAAACTGTGTTTCACATGGAAACAGAACCAAGTTTCATCATTTTCTGTATTGTCTGTATGACTCTGAAAAGAACACAGGAGCAGAGGATTTTGAAAGTGTTCTAATCAGAAATTTATCTGCATGTGGTTAAGAAACACCCAGCATTTGAGAGAGAATTGAAAAAAATGCGTTCTTCACCAGTTATGTTCCAGGGCTACAGGATGTGGGCTCCTATGCTAACCGTGCCTCTGTCAAGTTTTTTCTTCACAGGCTTGGTTACAAATTTCTACAAGAAGACTACAGCAGAAGTGATTACTGAAGCTACAATCACACAGGAGAACTGACTAAAATACAAACAGCTGAAACTCCAATTAAACTGTGCAGGTGGGAAGAGCTGCAGGTGACCCAGGTGTCCAGGAAAGGTGTTGGACAGCAGAGCTCTGCCTTTGCTCCTGGCAGTGTCCCCATCCAGCCACACACAGCAACCAAACCTGAAGGATTTTGGATGTCTTAGCTAGTCCAACATGTATAAAAAATACATTTCATTTAAACATTTGACTTATTTTACTTAAAGTCTTAAAATAAATGGCCTTCCAGGAAAATGCCTGAAGTAGGAGTGTAGAGCTAAAATAGATTCATCCTCTTCACTTTACAAGTATTCCATAAATTACGTTTCTTGTTTCTTTTGCCATCTTTTTACTTCTTATATTTCTGGAACAGAAATTAGAAGGAATTTTCAATTGAAGAGGCTTACTGGACCAAAAATAAATTCTTTTTTGCTGACATAAAGAGGTTTCCAGCAGCTTCTTCTCCTGAGTGGAGAAAGCAAGGCTTGAGTCATTCAACACATGGGGAGGACTATAAGATGTATAACTTTTAAGTGAGGCTCTGCTGCTCCAATTCAGCCTTTATTCAAAAGAACATTGAAAACACTTCCTCAGAACTGCCTTAGCCCAACATAAAATTGAATTTACATGCTATAGCACATGTGTAATTCTATTCTGACTGGTCTCTTTTCCAGAAGAGCAGGATGGCAAACAACCCTGCAGAGTTGTTGTGGTATTTCAGGATACATTTCCCTGGAGTGTTTGGGAGGTGGGAGATGTGTAGATTCCCATCTCTTATATTAACTTCCTGAAAAGTCCATGGAGATCAAGATTACTGTTGACCAGTGAATACTTTAGATCTCAAAATATGCACTGCTCTACTTAGTTGTAGGTGTCTCAAAATATAGATGCAAATTACTGAGTCATATATTTACACTGCATTTCAGTTTTGCTCTCTTTAAACTTCATTAACAGCCCTGAATGTATTGAAAGGTGCAGTAGTAAACTGGCAAAGGAAGTGGCTGTATCAGCTTAGATATTTCTAGATGAGTAAGTGGAAACTTAACAAGAGATATTTTACTGTAGAACTTGGATTGCTTGGTAGGATGAGTTCAAAAAAATCACTGTACAAATTTTTTTATAGACCTGTCTGTGCATTTTATGATAAACCACCTCACAAAAAATGTACCAAATAACCCAACACCAACATCCAGAGATCCTATCTACAGCACCAGACAGCTTGAGCATCACATCTGCTTTTCTTTAACTATTAACTGTGAATAAAAATTTGACTATTATATCCAGTAATGTTTGCTGTCAGCTGTAAGTGATGTCATTTCCCTTACAAACTGGGACCTCCTGTACTTGTGTCACCTCAGAGTTCACCAGCCAGAAGCAAGGCTCCCTTTCCTCCACCCTCTTTTGAGATCCTCAGGGTTGTTGTGTGCACAAACACATTTAACTCATTCTCCTCAAAAATAGTTTATGAAAACCCCATGTGGAATTCGAGTATTTTTGGTGGGATACTCACAATGGGTTGTTGACTTTTAAAAAAATAAACTCTCCAGTGGGTATCTCAAATCACTCTGAAGAATTTTCCTACTGCTCCTCTCCCTGGCATCCTGCATCCCAGCCATAAATACAAAATGAGTCAGCATCCTTCAGGCACAGAAGTGACCTGCTTGAAGGCCCCAGCATCCACTCTAAATCCTAATAGCAATTACTGACCTCAGGAGCTGCTGAAGTCATGGCATTAAGATTAGAGGGAGAGATTTGGGTGGCAGATATCTTCCCCAGCCCCAGGCTGAGGTGTCCCCAGCAGCAGTGGATCTGCACACAGATGCTGCAGGATTCTCCCAGGATGGCACAGAGAATGCCCAGAACTTCCAATTTTACACCAGTGCTCCTAAATAGGGACTTTACTGACAACACAGATGGAAAGTTTTCCCCTGAATGAGCAAAGAAGGAAAACCATTTCTTTAGAGCTCCCCACAACCTCTGCACACACATAACTCAGCAAACAAACAAAGAGCCCAGTGCAAACCCCTGAGATTCTTAGCTCCCTCCAAAGAGAAGCTGAAGGCCAGCACACCACAACATCAATATTCCTCAGAGAGCAAGTGGAAAGTGCCAGGTCAGACTGCTGAAAGAGCCAGCCTTCCAAACTGAACCCCGTTCAAGCCCAGGTGGGCTCTGAATTGTACCTGAGGAAGTGGGAACAATTCCCATCATGTCCATGAGGAGAGCCCAAAGAATCCCTCCCTGCCCAGCCAAACACAACAGTGACCCTCAGCAGCTTCTGTGTGGTTTTGCTGTCACCCACACACCCAGAGCTTGAGCAAAGACTTCCACCAGTGTCCACCTCAAAAGGAGAAAAGGAGGGCTGGAGAAAATCCCTGTTTCCATTGAACTGCTACTCATCTCTTGCAGCTGTTGGGTCTGATACATCCTCACTAAATAAATATGTGAGAACATTCTTGTATAGATGGTTGTGGAGACAGAAAACAGTTAACCTTCCCTAATTTAAATTATGTGTTCTCCTCACATTAGAAAATGGCCAGCAGAAAAACAAACCCTCATACCACAGACCTTGTTAGGGAGTGTTCACTCACAAAACATTCTAGAAGAGTCACAATGTCCCAGGTAACAGCACCCCTTCCTCAAGAAGCTGAATTTCCTCATTACTAATGCCCCATATTCTTGCTATTCACATGATTAGCCTGTAAACACTGCAAGGTGGGAATGGTAAGCAAGGAAAATCCCACAACCTTTAACACTGAAGTAATTTATTAGCCCAATAATCTTACGTGTCTTTGCTGCCTGTCTTCCTTCACATGCAGTCTCTGTCCTGTTCTTTATAAAAAATACAAGCATTACATTGTTTCCTTTGGAGACTCACCTTTCTGTAACAATCCATGTTTCAAGTTGTTTCCCTTGGCTACTTCTCCACTCTTGTTCAGAATTTGAAAAAAAAAATAAATCAAAATTCCTAAGGTATTGCTGAATCAGCTCCTAATTTCACTTTACCACTATGGAAGGACAATTTGGTATCATTTTGATGCAATAAAACTCATGTGTTCTGCATATTCAGACAATTGCTAATTAATAGGCTCAGCAAATCACCCTGTTTTATTTTTTAAAAATGCAGCTCCATTTTCATGAGTAGTCAAGCACCCACAAAAGATCAGTTCTTTGTGTTCAGTTACCATTTTCTTCCCAAGAGAACAGAGTGAAATTATTCAGCAAGGAGACAGATAAATCCCAGGTGAAAATATTATACAGTCCTAACAGGATTTCTTGACTCCTGGTAAGAAACCTGAAAAAATGTGTTCCAATACTACAAGTTAAGGATCTCCCCTAAAATTTCACAAAGCAAGTGTGGCTTAATGACCACAACATGTCCACAGCTCTAGGACAGGTCACAAACTTGTCCTAAACCTCTGGGGGGTTAGAAGCTGATTAAATTTATTGCAAATCGTGCCCAGAGGGTAAAGCTGCAGTTCTCAGGTAATGAGCTGCTACCTCAGAAAACAACTGAATACAGATTTCCTGACTTGCTTAACCTTGGGGCCAGATGGAGGTTTAGGCTGACCTGAGCTACTTATTTTCCTTCTTAAACATGATAAAGCCAGGATGGATTACAAGAACCAGGAAGTGCTAACATACCAAACTAGTAATATAAAAATATTTTCTCTGAATCTGTGCCTTCTCATATAAAACTGTAGCACAGCCATTTTTCTTAAAACTCTTTGTGAAGAACAGGGTATTTAGCTGTGATTTTTCCTTTTCACGAAGGACCATGGATAAAAATGTTGTTTCCCCAGCTTTTGCTGTTTCCCAAGGAGCTGGAACAGTTTATTGGGTTCAGAGGGTGCATTTCATGGAGAAAACCTGCCCTAAATAAAACTCTGCTCTCTTACATCTCAATCTTTTCAGATTTCAGAGATGCAAAATAATTTCAGAGGATTTCAGCAGATGAAATCAGACAAGCCAGTCTCAGCCCTGTGCACTTGGGATGAGCATGTGCTTCTCTACACCTTCAAAGAAGTCACCCACCCCTCCCCATAATTTTACTTCAAAAGGACAAACATTCATTTTCAGATTCAGCAGAACAGGAGTAAATCTGATGCTTGAGTTTAGAATGACAACATAGTATTTCACTGGTTTGTAACTCTGCTCCAGTCTGAGCAGATAGCAGAATTTCCATCGGGAAACTGCAACCCAAAGCCACCAGCCTGCCACAACTATTCCATCCTGTCCTGTCTATAGGAGTAACACAAATTTATGTTGGGAATGCTGCAAGACTAAGAACAGCCTTTTCATGTGTAAAATCAGGATTGTACTTTCCTAGTACCAAACTATCTTTCTGCTACCTGGACTGCTCCATTTACTTAAGTAAAACACAAAAGTGGGCACAACAGGCTACAATTTACCATAACCAAGGGATGGCGTGGTCTTCCAGATCCACCCTGCAGTGTACTCTGCTCCTCCCAAGTGTGATGGGCTCAATATTCTCAAACTGAAACTGCTCATCAGCAGAAACTGAAGGCAGCAGGCACACTTCTATTTAGAGACTTGAAAATCCAATGGGAGATTTGTAATCAGAGACTTAAACCCAAAGACTTGCAAGAACACAGAAGACATTTTGAGCCCTCTATGCTCAAAAAGCTTCCAGAATGTATTATTCCAAAAGCTCATCACCTTTCACAGAATTTGTGACTCAGAAGACTCAGTTTGCCCATTTTTCTCATTTCCCTCAGACACAGGAGGCATGCTTACAACAGATTGTAAATTCAAAAACCTTTTAGTTTGTGATCATAGTTATCAATAATCCTTGTTCAGGCCTCACTATGCCATGAGTTTAATTTACTTTAAATTTGGCAGTCACACTATTTTCCTGCCAGTTTCTAAGAAATTTGTTTAATTTATGGGACAGGACTGCCAGTGGTGGTGGTACATGTTTGTTTGGGTTTGTTTGATTGTTTTAATTATTCTGGGTGCAAGAGTCCTCCATTTTTCTCACCAATGTATGTAATGAAAGAATACATTTGGTTTCCAAGACAGAGTGAAATAAACTGTGAGCCAACAATTTGGCTAAGAGAAGGAACTTCTGGGTATAAGCTAAAGGTTGTTGAATTTGTAAAATGAAATCCAAGCAATTGTGCAAAAACAGAGACAGAACGCTCTTACTGAAGAAAACGTACCATAAGGAACATCTATGTCCACTTATATCACTATTCCAATATTGTTAGGAATAACAGTTTGTTGTTTTGCTTTGTGACACACTAAACCACAGACACCACTACAATTGTGATTTTTACATAGAAATATAATAAACAGCCTTATAAAGTGTTTAATAGAAAAGCTTTAACCTAGGAAATGGACTTGGGGCCACTAAGTGGTAGCACTATCACCACACTGCAGGACACTGTGTGCCCAGGTTGTGTTTTACACCAAACTTTGTGCTCACAGTGAGAGCAGCAGGGGAGAAAACAGAGGGAAAAGGAAATAGCAGCAGGTCTAAAGTGTCAGGTCTTCCCAGTGACCTACTCTAGAGTAAATTGTATTGTTTTGGACATGAAAAGCATTGCTGGGCTGTCATTCGTTGTTGAAAGACTGTATTTCACAAGATGGCTTTTACTGTGTGAGGTTTGTTGTACCTTTCAACTACTATAGAGGCTACTACAAGTGCAAAAATTAGGTGCTTTCTACTATTTGTAAAACTGAAACAGAAAATATTGACACCTTTTATTTTGTAATGTAAACTGCCACCAGAACAGGCTCCTTCCATTTTGCAATTCTGCTACTGCTGGACACGGACGTTGAACAACACGTTTTCCTCTTATTAATTTCTTGATGTTACATTTTATTTCATGAGGCCAGTTGGGTTTTTAATGCATAACACAAAAAACTAGAGCCTACTTAAAAATCTCTCTTAGAAGCATTTAGAAGGTTAGTAACTAAGTAGTAGCATGCATCTTTCAAGTGCTTTAGCTATGATTTCTAGTTGTTTAAGGCTTTTTTAAAACAGCAATTCAGTCCTTCATACAAGTTAGCATCATTCATTTTAAGATGACTTTCCTACCAAGAAGTGCAACTTACCAACTCAAATACATTTTTTTTTTTCTGTGACACTGACCACAAGTGACAATCTCACGGAAGAAACTGTAGGATTCTCCTTTCCCTATATCTGTTCCCCATAACTTCTGGCCATTGCACGTTATACAACACATTATTTATTCAGTCTGCTTCTAACACACCAAGGTGGGAAAAGCTGCATTACTGTGAAAGCAGGAAAGCTGTCTCTACTGTACTCCATGCCATTCTGTTTGTAAGATCAAAACTTTGTACAAATTTGATCCTTCCAATTAATCCAGGCTGCTGAAGAGGACGGTGTTAACTCATCACACCAGAGAAAACACCTGCCCACATCCTGCTCAGAAGACAGCAGACAGTGCTCAAATGGCAGCTCCCTGAGCTACTTACCCACGCCACTCTTCTCTGTCTTGTGCCATCTTGCCATCCCCAGAGAAGCCGTGAGGCTCCCAGGGATGCCCAGGCCTGAGGATTTTCGGGATGCAGGATTTTCGGGATGCAGAGCTGGCACTGACACACACAGGCCCCGGAAGCGCCGTCCTTCCCCAGCCCTGGGACGAGCAGAGGCAGCTGCGAGGGCTCTGTGAGATTTGCTGCCTCTCGGAGCTTCCTTCCTCTTTTCTCAACTCGAGATACGGAGTGCTGGGGGAGGGGAATCCCAAACTGCGCGTTTCTCTTGCCCCATGTCAGCCGTGAGCACAGCAGCACGCCAGGACCGTGTGGTACCACCCTGGGGCTCAGCATCTCTGAGCACGGCTTAGCTAGTGCTGCACACCGGATCCACACCAGGCTGGAAAGGTCCACTTCAGAGGACATCTTAAAAACTCTGCTTTTCTAACCTGGATTTGTGCTTGTCATGTCTCCTCTCCACTCCATTTCTCTCTGGAGACAAAGCCACATTTCAAACCACACCCTTTCTTTTAAATTTCTATCATTTTATGTTTAGAGGAAGAAGTAGGAGATTCCCTTCTCTAAACAAAGCGGTACTTTCTGAAAGTTTACTGTTAATACAAAAGTGCCAAAAGCAATTTTTAGTACATTTCCAGCCTGTGCTTCCACACAGGCTCTTGTGGGAGCCAGCTTGGGTGAGGATATCTTGGATGTGCAAAAGACCAAGCCAAGTTGTTTGAAATGTGAATTAAAGAAAATGAATTGAAGGCAGCATGTCACCTTAAAGCACCAAATCTGCGCTTATAGAGTTAAAAAAACCCAAACAAAATCCTTGCAAGATTTACTGGTTGTTTGATCTTCTGCTTAGTACAACAAATTCAGTTGATAATCCCATCCTCTGGATATTCCAGTGCAGTTTAGCAATCCTTGTTTATCCAAACTGTTTAACACTGCCATGCTGCATCCATCTCCTGGTTTTTTATAACCATCTCCTCTGATTTTAATAACACATGACATCTGATTTCTCGATTTTAACTAGCAATCATGTGGAACACAGACTGCCAAGTCTCTCATGGAATTCTGATATAATTTCTACAGTAAAATCACTTTAACCTTTACCACAGATTTGCTTGAACTGGTCTAATCTTAACCATACTAGCTTAGAAAAGGATTTAGCTCCTTACTCTCCCCCAAAATAACATTGAAAGTCATGTTATGTTTACTAAAGTGGGCTAAATTCCCAGCAGCTCCCATTATCTCCATTTACAGACAACAAGCTTAAGCTAAAAGTTCTTAATCTCTTCTGTCCCTGGAAAATCCACTTTATATTGTTATTCTGTCAAAAAGAAATTTTGAGCCTGAACAATTTAATCTTTTACTTTGGGTTTTGAGTAGTAACTTCCTAACCAGTGGTATCTTCCTCACTCCCAACTCCTGTTGCAGCAAATCCTCTCTTCCCATTCTCTACTTTGTCTAAAGGTTGCCTTGTTTTTATTTTCTTTTTCTACCTTGTTTGTCCTTACTTTGTTTCCCTCTAAAATAACAGTCCAGAGGAAAACTGTTCCTTTCTAGCACTCATTTACAAACCTGCTTCTCCATGGAGGTCTAACACACCTAGTTAATACTACTGTCTTTTGAAAGTAAATGATCTAAAATACAGAAATTTCACCTGCAAACTGGGATCCAGTTTGCAGCACTTTTTCTGATGCCCTGATGTGATTCTGCAGAGCACAGCACAAAGGGACTGGGCTCTGGGCCACAGCTCAGGTCCCTTCTTAGACCCTTTGGACTTACCCCAAAAGCCAACTCGAGGGCCAAAACTCCCACAGGAGTTGCTGTCTCCCACTGCCATCTCCTTCCCCCTCCAGCTCTCAGCATTGCACAGCTCCTGGAACTTCATCCTGGCAGACTTTCATCATGATGCTTTTACAATTCCTCAGCTACTGGAACCCACTGCCAGCCACTCCATCTCAGCTGACACCTTGTCTGGCTATGTCTGAAAAATTCCTGCCTGAAACTCCTCATGAACGGATTGGGGAACCAAATCCTTCCTTAGCTGCAAGAGGAAAGTGCACTCAGAGCAAAGCACACACAGTAACCCTAAAATCCTCTTCTTACAGCAGAGAGCAAACCCCAACACAGGTCTGAGGAATTCACTTGGGCAATAGTTTCACTCTTTGTCCATGGAGGTTTTTATTCCAAGTTGGTTTATTTGTGCAGTTAATTCCACACTGATATTCCACAGAAAATAGTGGGCAGATTCACCACCCTCACATATCTCACCATTTTTACCTTAAGCCTTTTTCAGAACAGGTTTTTTAAGGAAAATTCCTTGCTTCCCTGAAAGATGAAACTCTCTGTGGAAGAAGCTTACAAGAAAAACTTATTTGGGGGCTGGGGACAGGCAGAAGGCAGACAATTCTTGCTCCCTTCAATACTGCTATCAGCTCCAGAAAACAAGACCTTCTAAGATCCTGTGTAGCTAATTATCTACTTTTTAGCTAAGCTAATTTCCATTATAAAGAAGAATTTGAGCAGAAGACATAAATTGCATTTAACTGCCTCTAAATTCTATTCTGTGCCAAGATCTGTGAGCACAGTTTCAGAAAAGCAACTGCTGAGAGAACCAGAACCAAATAAGAAAATACAGCAAGAGCTCTCATGCACAGTACTCCTGTGTTACAGCAAACCCAAAGCCTGAACCCCAGGCACATTCCCACACCTGCCCTCCTGCAAGAGGATGTGTAAACACAAACACATTGCATAAGATGGTAAAGGCTGCACACTCCAAGTGGATTCCAGCAGCAGACTGCAAAGTAAATCCTGGTGGTAATTAGATAATCAGTTGCATTGTTTATTGAAATGACATCCCACTTTTGTCACATAAATTAACAAGTTATTTTAACCTAGAAAAAAATTTAGAAATGCTACATACCCAGCAGCTCAACATATACAATATAAATCAACACACAATTAACATAACATAATTAAATGTCTTAGTAGACAATCTATACCTCAGTACTGCCATTTGAAGTACATTATCCAATGTCAACTTATCAAAGGTTTTCCTCTAAGTAGAACAATCATGTACTTCAGTTGTTTTATACATTTGTGTCTCACAGTAGTGTCAGCAAACAAATGTAACTTTCATCATTTGCATAAAAAAGAATTTTTTTCTAACATTTTGCAGAATAAAAACCAGGATTTCTTCAGCATAACATCATTTAAGTTCACATGTCAAAGTCAAGAAGAGCAAGAACTATTTCATGGATATAAAATTGCTGTCAGTAATAACACCTTAGTAAAAGTCAAAGAAGATATTCTCAGTTTATGAAGCCTCATTAACTACAGACCAAAAAAACTCAGCTACAATGTGAATTTCTTACATCAGTGATGTGACACAATCTGGTTCTGTGACACACAGATTTCTGGCTGTTTTGTTCAACAGGAGTAGCAGCCCCTGGGCTGTGCCTAAACTGAACTGGGCAGAAATGCTCTGATAACAACATGGAGCTGCCTGGAAAAGGAGAAGACGTGGTCATTGAAGGTGACATTCCCACTTTTTTAGTCACTTCTGCTGTGATCAGAATTTGGTTTTTGTTGAGGTAGTGACTGATGAGCTAAAGCCACCCACATGCACAGTCAGAGTTAACAAAATCCCAGGCACTACTTCAGACCTGGCAGTCTATAAACTGCAAACAACTGTAAACAAACCAGGGAGCTGCAAGATTGTTCCCCAATGTATCATTTTCCATGACAGATTTTAAAAATGTCTTAAAGAACTTTCACCTTAACTACTGAGTCATTTACTTAGAAACTGGCTAAGCCATTCACCAGAGGGAGCTTAAACTGCAGCATCATGACTCAAATGAAGTAATCCAACTTCCATACAAATACCCCAAGAATTAATGGAACTAACTTAAAAGCTCTCCTCAGAATTATTCTGCATGAACTTCAGGAAGTTACAGAATTGTCTCCTAAAAACATGACACACAGCACTTGCATTGCACTTTCTTATCATTTATTGAGAGGTAATTTTTTTTTTAACAAAAAGTTCTACAAAAGACATCACCTTCATTTAAAAAATTGATATATGTTTCTTCTCAAATACATTACAGGCTACATTTTATAAAGAAAGAAACCTTTAATTAACATTAATTTAAAGAAAAACCTTTAATTAACAGTACAAATACAACAATCCACAGAGTTTCAAATACTGACCAACAAAACACACAGAGTGATTCAACTGCACTTTTGCAAATAGGTCAGCCTGTAGGTTGGGAAGTTATACATTAGGAAGAAAAACATTAAGAATTCTGAATCTGGAAACTGGAAGACATTTAGGAGCACATCACTTACTTGAGTTCTCCATCAACCTGTCTTACCATCCAATAAAACCTCTGTTAGCCAGAACTTCTCCTCCACTACAGCCCCATGCTTCAAAGAAAGAAGAATTAATGTGTTAGAGACCTTGCCGAGAGTGGGGAGCAGGCCACACCTCAGGTCAAGTGCAGGGAACACACCAGGTGCCCTCAGGGAAGCCACCAGCTCTGCCAGGCAATCACACCCTGCTCTAACAGCAGCCAGATCAATACTCAAGTCAGCAACCTGTGCACTGATGTGAGCCAGAGTTCACTCAGCAGCTCCTGCTGAAGCAGGACCCCAGACTGTCCAGGCTCCCTGCAGAAGTGATTTATTGCTGAGCACATTGAGTTTCAGAACTTGCCTTAGAAGATACATACAATGTGGAATGTTTTTTCTTCTGTGTTTTCTTCTCTGTTGAGATTTTAGTTTCTCTCTTATCTTCTTCTGTAGTTTCAAATCTGGATTCAGCTGTTAACCTATAGGCAAAGCAACCATTCTAAATACATATTTAGTTAATATAAACCAGGACTAAAATAAGAATTTTAGGCAAAATCAACAAGCCAGCTGGCAAACAAGATCATCCATGCAGAAACAGAGCAAGCACAGTTTAAGAAGAAAATGAGACTAAACCAAAGCATTTTTATATCAATCCTGATTGCACTTCATCACACTTAAAGCCTTCCCCTGACACCTCAGCTGCTGAAATGTTTGGTAAGAAAGGTTATTGAATATGTGGAGTGGCTGAGATCAGCCTTCAGAAACACCAGTGACTGTGTCATGCACAGAAAGGAGATCCAGTCCCTAAAAGCACAACTTCAGGTGGAAAGTCTGAGCAATATCATATCAACAGGACGAAATCAAGCTTCTCGCTTCTACACCACCAAAAAAACTACCCTTAAAATAATACACTCCTTTCAACCTTGTTCTACACTACTATTGCCTTCAGCTTAGTGCTTCAATATCTTAAGTTGGGGGAAGATTTATTTTCAAGCTTTAAATTATATCATTTGTCTGCTGACAGGTTTTAATTCTGCTGTGAATGTAAATGGGGATAAAACTGTCTCATTGCTGTTAAAAAGATAATTCTGAAATCAAAACATCAGATTGTGTTCAAATGACTAAATCTTGTTTTTAACTTAATGAACATGCAAACATGCCATTAGAACAATTGATGAATTGTGGTATTTTACCCAACCAAATCACCCACAGCCCACTGACTGTTACACATGATTATTTTCACAAAGGAAGAAATTATGGAAAATGAAGTTCCAAATTAAACATCACTTTACGTAACAACACAAACTCTACACTTGTTTATAAGCACATGCATTAAAGAAATTCTCTGGTGACCTTGTGGATTTTTAATAGTTTCAGAAGCCCTCAGTGAGCAACCCACACCATGGACAGCTGCTTTCAGTGATGTTTTCCCCAACACAAATAGCTGCTACTCAGTTGGGAGAGACTTATTTGCAACACAGAAAGGTGCAGCTGAACATGAGGCCTATGAAAGGAGCTGTAACAAAAAAAATTTGGGAAATTCAGCTACAGATTCAAACTGCTGTCAAACTATGGTGCATTGCATGTCATGTGCATGTTATTCCCTACAAGCACTGTCTCAAGAGGCTGAAGAAAAACAGGCTCTGCTGTGTCTCCTCTAGGTCAGGGTTTGCTCCTCCGTGAGCTGTGCATTCAGCCCACACCTGTAACTGAGGGCTGAGCACCTTCTGTCCACGGTCACCTTCATTGTGAGTTGGACAAATCACTCTGTGGTTAAAGGAATTACTCAAGGAAGACAAAAATAGTGCTCCCAGTAGCCATTATGTGGTTCGTACTCCCCCAGCAGCTGCAGCTGGGGATGGAGAGTTTCTGTCCATGAACCTGCTCCTATGGCAGATTCCCTTCATTTGTCCCTCCCACTCTTCTGCCTTAAACAACCCCTGTCCAAGGCCACCAAAAATACTACTCTAGTGGCCAAAATTGCCAACTGAGTCCCTATAAATGACTTAAGTTGCAATGCAAGATGTAACCAAAAGTATGTTGAAACCAGGTAGGGAAGTTTTCTTTATCTCTTTCATGACCCATCCCTGTAACTGGGGGATCTCTTCTGTTAATGGGCCCTTGAGTCTCACTGGTGACTGATAAAATCCCATCATCCCACTGGGAGATGCTCCAGCCAGGGGGAGCAGCCAAGCATGTACACATGTACAACCTTGGAGACTCAGAACAGCACAGCAGCCTTTCTCCACTGAATTCCCAGAAGAGACAGACCACACCCATCTACACCACCAGACCTTCAGAGGAAACAATGTCCTTCTACAAGATCATGACTTCAACAGAACCACATCTGTCACTCCAGGACAACTGCAGCCACCTTTTAATTGGACTGCTACCAACACCCTGACCAACAGGGTGTCAGGTTGTATTCTGACTCTGTCAGTGGGCTGTTTTTTGTTGGTTTTCTTTTTTGTACAACTGCAATTTTTATTTTAATTATCCTAGTAAAGAACTGTTATACCTTTTCCCATATCTTTGCCTGAAAGCCCCTTGATTTCAAGATTATAATAACTCAGGAAGGGGGGCTTTACATTTTTCCATTTCAAGGGAAGTTTCTGCCCTTCTTAGCAAACATCTATCTTTTCAAACCAAAACAATAAACAAGCAGAAAGAACTCAAACTACAAGAACAAATAAAAACCACAGCAATTTAAATTATGTCCCAAAGCAGCACAACTGGATTTATACAAAATATTGCCCTTTTATGATATTACATCATTCTCTCAGCATATAATGTAACAACTCTGGCAATCACATTCACCCTGTTCCTCTTGGTGAGGAGGATATAGAAGCCAGGACTGCGGGAGTGAAGCTGAGCCTGGGAAGAAGAGCTGGGGCAGATTTCTTTCTTTCTTACTGTACCCACTGTGGCAAGGAGTTAATCTTCCCCAAGTCTGGTTTGCCCATGACCAGGTGACCTCTGTCATGTTACCCACACTTTTTCTATCCAGTGCTCTCATTTGCCCTATGGAAGAGAGGGAGGAGCAGCTGATGCAGCTGGCAGCAAACTGAGGCTCACCCCACAGCCCCCAGAGCACCCCTGAGAGTGCTGTCCTGGTCCTCAGGTGTCAACACAGGCAAGGGATCAGAAAGAACAGACAATGGTGAAACACTTCAAGCAAATGCTGCTGAAATTATGACATGATTCAAGCTTTGACTCTACAGACTCCAAAACTGAGATAGAACTGGGGGCTCCTTCTACCTGTTTAAGGAAGATGAACTTGTTTCATCAGGTGGAGTTTTACTTCCCAAGGCTGAGGGCTGTACCTAAAACCCCAAAGAGTATTATTATTATTAGCTATCCAGATCTCCTGCTGAGCCAAATGGCCACAGGCAATTGGACAAAGCCTAAGTGAAGTAGATTTGGTGGATGTAATCCAAGTAAATAATTTAAAGGAGCAAATAAGCTCTTAGACATCCAAGCTCTTCTTTAGATCAAAAAGGCAAACAACCTAAAATCTCAATGCAAAATAAATTGTGCAGCAAGGACTAGAGTCTGCTATTTCAGTTTAAGAAGGGAAAAAAAAGCATTTCAATAGAGAAATGTGTATTTTTATTGACCAGTTAGTTGGCCAAACAAAAGGTATCCCTGCACATAATCCTTGCCTTGCCAGAATTCCAGTATGCATTGACAAGTGACAATCACCACTTGAATATTTAAACCTGTGGTCTCAATACTCTCATATCCTAACCTAATTTCAGTTTACACAAGTTAAGCTTGTGCCACCACCTAATGAGCTACTCCAGTGCTGGCTGTAGCCCAAATCACCTCAGCAAGGAAGTCTCTTCACACAAGGGAGTTTGTCACCTCCACAAACACACAGAGATCAATCCTGACCACTTCCTCATCACCTCCTGGGCTGAGATGACAAATTCCAAACACCACTTTCTAGAAATGAAGGTTGCAGCCCTTTCACAGCTGTGGCAGCTCTGTTCTCCTACAATTTATGGGCCAATAGCAGAGCTCCACTAATTACTGCACAAAAATTATTCCAGGCACAAAAACAACCCCCAGAGATCACAACAGCCTTTTCAGCTGCAGCATCACATTTTAGTTAACACAAGGTGAAACACTAACAATTATCCACCTTTATTTTTTCCTCCCACAAACTCTCCCTTTTCAGATTCCCACTCCTGATCAATTTGCCAATATTTTCTGTGCCCAAAGTTCAGCCACATCCATCACAGAACAGTCTAGAGCTTCTTTCAGTGTTTAGAAATCCAGCTTCTCAAATACTCAGACTTTAACATGACTTCTGTTTTATAGCACATCACAGCAGAACAGGGCTAAGTAAATCCTTAATGTTAGCTTAATATAACCACTTGGGGTTCTAGTAGTTCATTAATACAATCAGACACAAACAGAACTTTCTGCCTGGATTTGCCTTTTACAGGATCATGCTATCACCAAAAAAAGCTTAATAGCTTATATGGAGTTTCGTGGCAGCTCGTGTTTGTGTTTTTTATTTTTCAAATATTTTTCATGTTTTGTTCCTTAACTGAACCAACAGCAATGGGTACAAGATTAGAAACCTCCCTCTGAACTATGGTTTCATCTTCCTCTTCCACTTTTTCTACTCTCTCTGCTTTCCAGCATCAATGCCACAAATAACTTCCACTACTCACCCCCTCTTCAGTAGGTTTCCCCCTTCAGCTCCCATAAACTATTTCCAACAGTTTCCTGTAAGCATACATTGTATCTTCTTTTCCCAATTCAGAGGAAGTAAGTTAAACTTTTCATATCATGTTACATTCTGCCTGTTCCCTTAGGTGTAGAGGACATTGTCAAAACCCAATACCATCACTAAATCATCCCAATCTTTCCACTTTCACCCACATCTGACCTTCCTGACCTTCCCTCCTCACTAACAATCCCACATTTTAACACAGCTGCTAAAACTGCTGTTTCTGCCATATTCTCTCCATAGTTTAAGAAGACTGCAGTGCTTGGCTACTTTAAGTCTGTTAATTGCATCCATGCAACCATGAGTAATTGATCTAAGAGCCAAAACATCAATCCAATTACTCCCAAATGCCATTGACTTTGGCTATTTCTTCTAGCAGATATTAGGAAGTTGCAAGCCCAAAACATCTGGACTATCCTAGACTTTTTTCTACCCCCAAACATTTGAATATGTGTTTACAAAGATTATGAACAGAATACAAGAAGCATTAGTTGAAAAAGTAGAAAATCAAAATCAGCATTGTTTTCACCAGGATAAAAAAGCTGAAGATAATGACTGTTGTCAGTTACTTTATCATCTAGCAAAAAGTAACTTCAATTCTCAGTTCAGGGGAAAAATTTCATCTTAATTTGGCAGTTGTGTTTCCAGCTATCATGCATCCAGACCATTCATTTCATATGTCTGACAACACAGACAGCTAATTAATTCTGTTATCCTGCATAATGAAAGTTAACACAATTCAGGTGAAGAATTACTTAAATAATTTTTTAGGCTTTTAGCTAAATCTGGAAGTTGTGGGGGGCTGAACTTAGGTATGAAACTGGAGCATGATTCCAGCTGCCTTTATTACCCTGAGCTGTAACACAGCTGCGTGGCAGTTTTGAGGTGACCAAGAACACAAAATTTCTGATGCTGGTGCAAACCAAGTGAGCTGCCTGCACACTCTAAATGTCTTCAAGCAATGGGAAAGTTATTTCAGAGACTGTTTCAAGAGTCTTTTTTATTAGTCAGCATTTTAGTCCTCCTAAAAGGCAGTGAGAGGTTCAGCGTGGGCAGCCGGAGCTGAGGAATGACACTGCATGCAACACTGAGGAAATAGATAAAGAAGTGGAGAGCACAGTTCATGCAGCGAAAGAAAAGAGATGCAGGTCTGTGCTGATTGCCTTGAGCAGAGACAGAAGCTGACACTGACCTGGGGACAGCTGGAGACAAGGAGCTGTTTCCACTTCTGCTATTCGAAGTCAAGGTGAGGTGATTCTCGTCTTGAATTTTAACTCTTTTTCTTTCTCTTTCAGGTTCAACAATGTTTCGTATTGCCTGGAGAGCTGTATGTAGTGGGGATGCTTGAAAAGGCTGTTTTTTTGGAGAAGCATCACTTTGCTCCAGGTTCTTGGCAGTCATCTTTTTCCCTTCCTTACTTGGCAATTGAGTGAGAGCAGCTTCTTTTACTGGAGTATTTTTGCTGTCTAAGTATTCACAAGTAGCATTCACTGGAATTCTTTCCCTCTTCTTTTTAATTTTAGGACCTTTAAGCAATTCTAAAGGAAAAAAAAAGAATATACTCTTTGTACAAAAGAGAAGCTGGAGATGACTTGTCCTCCAGCATGTTCATAATAAAACTAACATTTCACATGACTAAAGAGCTTGGAATCATTCTTAACAGATGATTTATATAATTTAAAGAATGTTTCTTCATATAATCTGATCATCCTAACAGAAGCTAGCTTGAAAAAGAGACAACAACTTTCTCCTCATCCACTCTGTCTTTTCACCAAGGCTTTAAATCAAATGCTCTGAACTGCAGACTGCTGAGGTAAGCTTCCACAAATAACATTATAAAGTTAAATCCTTTGGGTGTGGACAAAAACAACTTTCCTATCTGGTTCCCCACTCATGGAATCCCAGAATGGTTTGGGCAGGAAGGGACCTTAAAGGTCAATCTGGTTACACCCCCTGCCATGGGCAGGGACACCTTCCACTGTCCCAGGCTGCTCCAAGCCCTGTCCAACCTGGCCTTGGACACTTCCAGGGATGGAGCAGCCACAGCTTCTCTGGGCACTTGTGCCAGGGCCTCCCCACCCTTACAGGGAAGTTTCTTCCTAGTATCCCATCCAAACTTGCTCAGTTTAAATAGAATCCTCTTCCCTCACAGCTCCCTTGCTTTGCACATACTCAGGTATCAGCTGTTTGTCAGGTGGGTCTCTCTAGTCAAAATATAATCCATATTAACTTGAGCTACTAAACTGTTTTCCTGTAAATGCTTTGCACCTTATTCCAAAGCTCCTATCAGCTGCCTACTCCCAGAGAGCCAAGGCTTCTCATCACCACAAAAACACTGCTGCTATTATGGGAAACACCTGAGATTTGGTCCCACCCACTTGAGTATGGTTATCTCCCTGTTTTCTATAAAGCCCCTGAACACTGCAATTTTTAACTGAAAAACTACATTCTTTAGTCTCCTCCAGCCAGTGTTCACATATTCAAGTGAGGTCTTGAGCAAGGCAGGGCTTTTCTACCTCAGCTCAGCAGATTTTGGGTCAGGTTATTTCAGAAGGTCAGCTAGCCTTTAAGCATTAAATTCTGGAACTAAACCAATATCTTCCTGTTTTAATGTCATTCCATTTCTAAAGGCTGAGAAAATCAGAAATCTATATTTTCCCAGAGAGAAAAGAAATATTTACCTTCAGGTTCATATTTCATTTTCAGCTCATCCAGCATAACCCGCAGGTTCATATTCTCACTCTGACAAGCTTGCAAATGCCTCTCATTTGTGAAGAGTTTCCTTTCAAATTCCAGGACCCTTTGGCTCTCATACAGAGCTTTCATTCTCTGCAGGGATAGTTCATTTTTCAGTGTTTCAGTTTCCTTGCTGAGGTGGGAGGAGAATTATAAAATCAGTCAGACTTGGATTGGTTTGGGTTTTTCTTTCAGTAAAGCAACAACTAAGCACTCAACTTCACCTTAAATTGGTATTAATATATTAATAAGAAAAATCAAGCTTTTTTGTCCTATAAAACATTTTGAGTGTTATTATCTAGAGAAATAAACATACATAGCCTAAAGACTAAGACTTTTCATACAGTTTCCTTACAGATCAACTTTTAATTGATTCAAGGTCTCAATATCTAGGAGTATTAACAACATTCCTGGAAGAAAACAATAATCAAACAATATTTCTGCTGTTATCTTTTAAAACATAAATGAAACTACAAAAAAATTTAAAAAAACCCCAACTCAGTCCTATAATGAAGTCAGAAAATGCAACAAGAACAAAACCCATCTGCACATGCAGTCAGTGCATACAAACAGTAACAAAAAAGGGAGGATAAAAATCAAGTACCTAGAAGATAACCCTACCACAACCAGGGCCTCAGGCTGGAAGTACTTACTTTGAGTTATCAAGTTTAATTTGCAGTAAATCTGCATAGTAACCATACATTAGCTTAGTTCTTAGGAAACATTTTCCATGCATTTTGATGGAGAAGCCTCATCATAGAGGGATTTAAACACAGAAGATAAACCTCAGCTGCTGAGTACTTTCTCTTTTGTTACAAATGTCAAATAGCACTAAAACTGACAGATCTCTCCCATTCACTGAAAAAAGGGAAAAAATGTGAGCTATCTCAACTCCAGAAGGTTTGCAAGCAGAACTGCAGAACACCTTTCTTGCTTTTTACTTGAAAACACAGGGTATTTAGTTAACCCACAGGGAATTTTTCTCAGCATTTACCTCTAGCCTTCAGCAGCTGACCCCAGAGGAATACCAGCCATGTTAACCAATAGTCAAAATCTCCAAATCAATTACATATTTCAGACAAGGAAATTGATTTGTAGTAAAGATGTTATAAATGAAGCAACAAATGACACTGTGGGTTTTGTTTGGTGTTTTTCTTGTCAACCAGAAGTATCCAAATTTAATCCTGTCCCAGAGACCTCCTAGGCCTCTGTCAGTCACTGCCCACAGACATTTTGATGGTTACTGGAATCAATCATTCGATTTTCCAACACTACTTATTTATGACCTAGAGATAGAAGTAAGTAGAGATCAAGCTTAAACATGACAAAATTGGTAAAACAATCAGACTTCCTCAATTACTGCTAAAATGGGTTAAGCCTGGCTTCACACCACTTGGGTTAAATACAGAATAGAGGAGTCTATCCTGGAAAGCATAATCCTAATGCACAAGCTAATACACCTCATTTTGCATTCCAAAGCTCTGGTAAGAAAGGACCAAACAAGTACAGAAACATGCAAGAATTAAGAAAGGCTCCAGGTTTTCACTCTGGAAACAAACACATCAGTAGCATTACACTGGTGTATACAGAAGTCCTTGAGTGTTTCTCACTTTTCAAAATTCTGACAAGATGTTTTCAAGGTGCATAAGAGGACTGCAAGAGCTGCTTAACAAGGATGATTAAGCAATTCAGTTTTGCTAGAAAAGAGCATGCTTCAGCTGCAAAGTTAAGACACATCAAGAAAATAAATACCAGGAAATTCAATAGAGCTGAGACAGTAAAAGCTAAAGCCTAAACATACACAGTAAAAGCACCAAATGACTACACTTTCCCAGTGAAAAATTGGATGTCACAGCTCAGTGAACTTTGACCAAGTAACTGAATTTAAAAGCTAGAATATAAAAGATACGAAGGTGCTTCACACAGGACAAAAAAATTGTTTCTTCAACCCAGGTGTTGGATGGGGTATAATTTTCTGCTTCTCTGCACTTGAGGAGTCTAATATTCTCCAGCTGTAGAATACCATTCAGATCAAATAAAGATATGAGTCAGCTTTTGGATCCCTTTTAAAACCTGAGCATGGACTTCAAACAGTTTTCATAATTCTTCTTGTTCTCATGTTTTAGCTTCCAATTAAAATTTTCTACTTAGTTAAAAATCACATACCTTAAATTTTTCTAGCTGCCTCACTTTCATAAGGAGATCTTCTATTTCACCATTCTTTTGCTCTAACATGGACTGTAAGCGTTCCAGCTGATCAAATTCTGCCTGGGAGCCTTTCAGCTGTAGCAGTGTAGCCATCTGCAGCTAGAAAAAAGGAAAAAAGAAAAAAACTATTTACAACAAGTACTGGGATTAGTGACTGAAAATCCAAGCCCTTTACACAAAACTGGGAACTTAAGCCTTGCAATTCTAAACCTGAATACAGAAGGGCACTGGATGCTTGAACTTGGTCTTCACGACATAATCCTAGCAATTATCACCACAGACACTCCAAGGCATGAGGACAGCTGAGATTTCACTGAGCGGTCCTGAGGTGTCCCACACATCTCTGTGTTGGCTAAGGAGCACATAAACACACTGCCAAGGACACACACAACATTCCACATTCACACTATCAGCACCAAGCCAGCCAGAACCCAGTGTGAGCCCAGGCTGATTTATCAGAGCTAAAATGCATCTTGAGAACTCACTTAGGAAAACCCACAAGTTTAACCCCTTGTTTTTTTCAGTTCTGTTTTTCAGATATAACACCACCATGTTTGCCTTCTACAACATTACCCCGAGAATTTCAGCTTTTTCTGCTTATCCTATGGAATACATCCTTTCAAGCAAAAGAACACCCTCTGTCATTAGAAAGGAGAAGTTATAAATATCTTACATTTACAGCAATATTTCTGTTGGTGTTAACATAATACTGAAGTACAAGACTCTTAATACATTGAGTTACAGGTGATAAATTAGACATTTAAACAACAGTAAATACAATAAATGAAAGACTTCACAAGGTGTTAGTGAAAACAAGCATTTGTATCAGTCTAGTCAGTAACACAGGGAGAAATCACAGGGAAAGGATCAAGTGAAAAAATTAGATTACAGAGAGAAAGCAAGAAGAGAATTTACCCTATAGAATCTCTTATGTCATGTCAAGGGTATTGATGATTCTGTGCACAAATTAGAGCTAATAAAAAGATTCAGTCATCTCCTCAGAGCTTCTACAGGATGTAAGGGAGACAAAATTTAGTCACTGGCTGACTAAAACTATCCTTACCATTCCCAAGCACAAGACACCCATCCTTTTTCCTCATTCCCTTAAAGCCCTCCTGCTAAATGTCAGAATTGCAAATTGCAGCTGATCTACATAACAGAGAACAGGAACTTAAACTGGAAAGGATGCTCTGGACTAGGAAAAATGCACTAGAGATGGTAAAGCTTTCCCAGGAGTGCTGTGTACATTCTGTTCAGGAGTCAGATCCTCAAAATTTACCAGTAAATACCACAAAGTGAGATCCTTCAACTAAAAATGCAGCAGCAGTTTCCTGTGGTAAGCAGCTTTGAGTGGAGAGATCAGCTAAACTCACACTGAGATTTAACTGGCAGCACCTCTGTGCAGCACAACACAGAGAGGATGCTAACAGGGACCTAAGACAGCAGCTTAAGCAAAAGAGCTGTCCTAACAATCTCCTACCCATCTCCAACACTGTCAGAAAAAATTTACAAAAATATTTCAAATAAAAGCATTACTACAGGGATACCAATTTGCCTCCATTTTTGGTACTTTTAGTGTTAGGTCTGTTTCTGACACCATTCAGTCAATATGACTGACTTACCCCCATACCACAAGGAGAAAATTTCCAAAGGAACTGATCCTACCCAATGACTTTCCTCACTCAAATCTTTGCTGTATTAGTAGGGCTTTTCTTATACTTTAAGAGCATTGTTTGAACTATTTTCAACCTACTCCACAAAATCTAGGTAATACAAATCTTTAGTGCAACTCATATTTATCACCCTTGATGTTTAAGTACTCTCCTCAAACTGCATGACCAAACAGTTGATCAAAATGAAAGGATCTACTTCAGGATTGGAAAAATCATGATACCAGCATGACAACAATTGACAGCTCTGCAGCATCCCCTTGACATTATCTTGTAAATCTGCTTCTGCTAACTAGTCCCCCACAATAATCCCAACAAGATCCCATCCTACAGCAGTGGAGGTTAACTTAAAGAGTTCTGAAAATTATGATTTATGTTTACATCAAAAATAGGGAAAAGCAAGAAGAAAAAATATGGACAAAGACAAGAAAGCAACACAGAGGTAGAAAAATCCAAACCCCTATAGTGTGATGGCAGTTAAAGCCTGTCCTTTTCTTTATGCTCATTCCTGACAACCACACTTAATGCACAAAGACTTGAACTATGTAGTATAAGAATTAGACAAGAAAAGAAAAAACAATTACCAAGACAAACTGAATGTTAGTTTGACAGACAGGAGTTGTGTTTTACTTTTATCCATTAAACAACTATGGCCAAAGAGAGCAAACACGGTGCCTTCACTGTAAGGTGGATGCTGATAGACTACAAGAGTCAAACAGCACAACATCATCTCACTTGTTTTTTCTCCCATTTCCCTCCCCCTAGACTACTGCCCCATATTTTAAAGATAACAAATCCCCTGGCCTTGTGCATTAAAGCTGTGCCTTATCAGACCCAAGGACACCCTGGAGTATTACAGGAATCATCCTACCTTCATTCTTTGCAATTGTTCTCTACTGAATGCATGCTGTTTTTGTAGGGACTGATATTTTACTTTCACACTGATCAGCTGTCGTTCCATTTCTGCCCTACGGTCCTCCACCTACAGAACATTGTGAACAATTATTACTGTGAAATCACAACACTTGCTGTCACTTGGATGATGAATTTGATAAGGACATGTTGCTTAGCAATTTGTGTTCAGTCTGTAAACACTGCTTTTCCAGCACCAGTACTTGAAAATACAGGCTACTGTCATTGCTCTGTGGTAGAAGTGAGTAGACAGTGCCACTGAAGTCCAGTCAGTGAAATGCAACAGATTTTTCATTTGTTCTTTTGATATCAAAATAAAGTAACATTTCATATGCTTCAGTGTTGCTGTAGAATAGTTTTGTCCACTGGTAACTAAACAAACAGTTCAAAAAAATCTGAACTTTCTTTCAACTTCACCCATCCCCTGGTTGCTGCCATGAAACACAATGCTCCCTATGCATTTACCTCTTACTCAAAAGCTAATGCCAAAACCCTCTAAAAAGCTCAAACATCCAGACATTTTCAGGAAGTTTGTAAGGCAGCTTTTATCAGTCTCTGTTAATATTTCACATACAGTCTTCTACATTAAAGATGGATTTATCAGCTGAACACAAAATCGAGGGCTGCAGACACAACCATCATGAACCCTCAGTCACAACTTTTGACTTGATAGTCAGATAACTTGAAGTGATTCCATTAAGTTTATTAACTCCTTATCTTATCTCCTCAGAGAGCCTGAAATGGTTTTCCACATGTCAGATCAACACTGAAGCCATATTTGAGGAATAGAGATACATGCTGGCCAGATCAGGTGCAGATACTCTCATATTTTCAACACAATATAAGAAAGAAAACTGGAAATACTTCTCAGGCATCTGTTGCATAGTTGTACCTCAGCAAAGAGAGAATTGCCTTTACTTGTAGGGTCCAAAGATTTTTGCACTGCGTGATCCAGCTGAACCTGAAGCTCCTGATTAGCCTCACGAGCTTTCTAGATTAAAGCAAAGAGGATATTGGTCATTTAAGTATCTGATGTACTGCACACATGAATTTAATCAGATAGCTTTAACTCTTTTTAATTTCCTATACTTTAGCAGAGATTATATTGTACTGAAGTCCTTAACTGTACATACAGTCCCAGTAACTAAGAGACAAATTAATTTCCTTTCACTAAAACACTTAATATTCCACTTGTTCTTCAGGACAAGAGCACAACTAAAAGCCTTTAAGGGTAAGCTTTGGTGTTTGTCAATTGGATTCATGATATTCAGACCACTTTCTCAGCTGTGTTCATCAGTCACAAATACTCTACTTCCCAGTACGAGATTCTCCATGATTTTCAGCAGGAATTTGAAATAAAAAGGAGAATTCTGGCAGTGATCTGTGAGAAGATCCCCAAGAAGCAGAACAGTGCCTTGCAAAGGCTCTCCTTTCACAGCCACCACAAAGCAAGGCCAACAGAGAGCTTTTACCACCAGGCAACACCAAACATGACCAACCAATATCCTTCTCTTTCCTCTCACAACTCCTACTCCACCAAAAACCTGGCAACACAGATTGTGCAATTTGGGCATTATCTACCACTGTGAAGTAGAATTAAGAGAATACCTCTAATGCATTACAGTAAAAAACAAGTTCTTTTTCCCTCTCTTCTTTTTCCCCCTGCAGCCGCTCCAGCTGGTTACGTAAGTTATTGTTCACAAGCTCTAATTGTTCTTTACTGCACTGCAGTTCATTCAGCTTTTCTTCATCATTGGCCTAAACAAACAAAAAACAAGTATGAAATAAAAAATATTTGAAACAATTTGAAGACAAACAGACCTAGGTAAACCAAAGTAATTTGTTAAAAGTAATTAGTTTTAAGATAAAATGTTACCTTGAAGAATAGAGGGTATTAAAGCCTAGCTATTAAGGCTGCTACTTTTTGCTGTGCATATTGTCTGAATAAAAGTTAATCCTAATGTGGCACTGTAGACAACACACATAAAAATGAAATGAGCAAAAGGACAGAATTTCATCTTCAACTAGGCTACACTGCAAATTCAGTGCTACTCACACACCTTCTGACTCTGGAGTTCAGTGAGCTCTATCTGCAGGTTGAGCACTTCGGCAGACATGGTCTCATGGACACGCTCAGACATCATGTGCAGTTCTTCTGATTTGGCAGCAATTATTTCCTTCTGATGCTCCACTTTTTGTCTCAGCTGTTTCTCTGAGAGTCGGGTTTCATCCAGTTCTGCTTTCAAGTTCTCCAACTTAAAAACAGTTGACAACTAAGTAGTGTAATTTCATGGTAAATTCTTGAAAAGCACAATATTTCTGACTGTTCCAATTACAGAAAATGTCTTGGAATGACAAGAGTTGCTTTAAAAATAAGCACTGAAATTTAATGAAATTCATAAGTGACTACAGATATTTTTTTTAAAATCAACCAAACAAGCTACTATACATTGTAACTATTTATTATTTCCTTTGGTAATTAAGAGAGCAAAAGTTAAGCAAACAGTATCTAAAATGGTAGTAAGATTCTTTTAGCTATATATTAGTAACCAAACCTTGTTTTTAAGGTCACTGATTTCTTGTCCATAGGCTCTGTCAAGCTGTTTTTTCTGATTATCCAGTTGCACATTTTGCTGTTGTTTAAGGGAATCACACTCAAAATTCAAGCTTTCCAACATTCGATTCTTGAGCTCAATTTCTCTCTGAAGAGTGTATTTCTCTTGCTCAAATTTCTGAAAGAAATGACACACTAATGAATCTAGATGTAATTGTACACTGTTCCCTAAGTATTTATGAAAAATGCTCAGAACCAAGATGGTTGTAGCTCATTTAGTCTTTTGTTCAGAGTGCCAATTAGAGAGTTGTAATACTCATGTTTAAAAAAAATAACTGTTCTAAAATGTTATGATTTATAAATGTTGTGATTATAATTTGATTGTGCAATATTTTCTTCTTCATGGAAACTCTATTTCTTTGCACCCAACATGAAAGGTATGGGTATCTTTTCTGCAAGTGTCATAAATTTAGCCAGTTTATATGCCCTTTCTACCACTACAGAACCCAATTATGTTAAAAATTACTACAGTACATCAAGCAGAGCAGCTGAGTTCACCAGTTCTTTTAAGACAGCCAAATTGTGTGTTTCATAATAAATCCCATCAATTCTTCCAGACTGAAGAATAATGTTTTAGACAGTTTCCAGCTATGATTGCATGTTGGCTAAATACAAACAGCAGCTTCATTTTACTCTTCCATTCAGCCAGCAATTAAGGAAAAGAAAAAGAGAATCTCAAAGGCAAAAAACAAAAATAAAGAAGGCAAAATAAAGAAGCCAAATTAATCTAAACATGCAAAATTTTTTTTTTCCTTTTCAAAATAACCTAACACTTGAGGCACAAAGCAGAATTAAATAAAAAACTAAATGCTCTCAGGTATCAGAGTGATCTCTGTGGCCTAGACACAGCTTATCAAGGACAGGCTTAGCTCTCAAATACCCAGGGCAGGTTTCACACAAAGATAAAGACTGGGCACAGGACGAGTTTGGGAGTGCAGTGCTCAGCCAAAGCCAAAAACAACAAAATCCCAGCAAGAACTTGCCTGCACCTGGTACAGAAGAGCACACAGAGATTTCTGAGAGGCTTTTGTGCCTGCTGGTAGAACCAACACTCGTGTTCACAGTAACTGCCTTGGCTCTCAGGCTGCAAGGAGAAGAGCCAGAGATTCAAAAGCTCTGAAGAACTTGTTGGGTAAGCATAGCTCCCACACAAAATGTTATTCTACTGCCCACAATTCCTACCCTCCACCCCTGGAACCTAAGTTACCAGCCAGGCTCAGAAGTTGGCTCCAGCTTCTCACACAGGATCACAACCTACAGGAGCAGCTTGACAGCTGAGTAACTGCTCTTTCTGCTGGTCAGCAGGAAAGGATGATCCTGCCCTGGCTTCCCTGGAACTTGTGCCTCCAGCTGCCTCTCACACAAAGCTTACTAATGGAGAACTGACCAGAATAAAAAATTCTGTCCATTCTGAACAGCAGGGTGCTGCAACCCTCCAAGCTGCTACAAAACCTTTCAGCTCTATCCCAGGACAAGGGATGGATGCACAACCAGAAACAGGCTAAATAAAGACAAATAATTTATGTGAAACATGGCCTGAACAGGCTAAATAAAGACAAATAATTTATGTGAAACATGGCCTGGCTTTCATTTGTGTTCATGTTTGAACACAAACATGAACATTAAAGCCTTTATGAAAAGTAGAAGAGATTTTGCAACTTAAATTTTCTCAAACAATTACTAAAAAGAAAACTGGTCAACTAAATAATACCTCTATAATTCAGAGGCAAAACACATGCTCTGAAGCAAATTTACTTTAGCATTTAGCATTCATTTCACATTAAAGGCAATTAGTCCTACATGATACTGAACACTTGATGCATAATTATCTATGAAACCCTGTCCCAGTTAGATACAATTATGCTCAATGTCTTCAAGCTGAGAAAAAAGCCCTCTCTATAACTACTTAGAGGCTTATTAAAATTAATCTAGATGCTAGAAGGCATGTAAAACACCTGTGCCTTTCAGAAAATAGTTGAAATAAAACAAAGTTCTGGTTTTGAACTTTGAGAAGAAAAGGCAGTCATCACCTCAGTTTTCTCAGTCAATTCAGAGCGTGTTTGATCCAGCTGATTTTGAATCTCACTTTGGGACTCCAGTAAATGCAAACCATATTGTGCTGCCTTTCTTCGCTCATTCTCTGCTTCCTTGAGTTGCTGTTTAAGACTTAAAATGGTCTCTGCTTCCATTTTTCTCCCTTCTTTTATTCAACACTGCAAACAAAAATTATTAAAAAATATATTGCAGTAAAAATATTTTACAGGTAAGAGTAGTTATCTGAAAGAAGTAACTGGATTTCCTTTCTTAACATGATAGAACAATATATTTTTGCATTAATACAAGACACAAAAAAAGCTCACAACACAGACCTGTGAACAGTAAAAAAGCATTTATTTCTTCATAAACTTAGTTACTGCCTTATTCTTGATTATGGCTAACATGCAGCAAAAGCATTCCTGTGCACACTCCTGTGCCTGGTTTCTTTGTACATCACAACCAGAGTTAATTCAGGACAGAGTTCTCTTGCCAAGTACAAAACAATTAAATAACCTCAGAAAAACACTGCTATGCACTTGGCTGACACTATTTTTTCTTGGTTATAAACCAAGCCCCACCAAGTCCAGCATTTCTTGTGTACACAAATAACACTTAAGAATGGCGTAGGCAGCAGCCTTAGCAGGACAGTGTACTCCTAATAACATTATGTGGGATAGAGAAACAGATAAAAGGAAAGGAAGAGCCAAAAATAGAAGCCCTGATAAAATATATGGAGTTTAACACAGGGCTGTGTATTTATTTAAGTGCTTAATGAATTCTTTCAAAATTTAGTTGCTGCTGGCAACTTATTTATAAATACTCATCTCCTTGTCACATTTCAGAAAATTCATCCTTTTCTAACAGCAGAGTATAACAGAAGACAGAAGGTGAATTTTGCAAAAATGTTAGTTGAAGTAAATCCAAGAAACCAAATATTTAAAAAAAATAAAAAGCAAGTCAAATTAACACCATAAGCTGGTATGACTGCTTGCTCCCAAATCTGCTAAATCAGCCTGCTGCAAAAAAATCCTATTAAGACAGAAAATGCTAAGTAACTCAGGCTTTTAAACAACATATGCCAAGAGTGTTCTCAGAAAGTAGGAAATAACAGTGAGAGACAAACACACAAGAAAAATTAGTAGTTTATTTTTCAAAGTCAGGGCCCAAAACTTTTCTACAATTTCAGAAGTAAAGTAATTCTGTATTGAAGAACTAACTCTTGCTTTTTTTCTCACAGAGACAATTTATTGGTTGTCATTTCTTACTGGCACATACATCATTCTTATGAATGATATAATAAATTCACTTCTTTTTTTGCTAACTTTTATTCAACATGAATAACTCCTAGAAGAGTTACCCAGCTTCTCATAATAGAAAAGAATGTAATTAACAGGCACAAGTAATTGTGTCAATACTGTGCCAATTTCTTTCTAAGGCACAAGACAGTAATGATCACATTCTGTTTTTTGCATTTTCTCCTCACTTGTTGCTATCCAGGTTTAACACATACAAAGAAACTTTATCCAGCCAGGCTTTGAAACTTCAGTTTTCACCTCTAACCACTGCAATGCCTGAAATACTTTTTACACCTATACTAAAATAAACTAGTAAAACACAGGAATTTTACATACCAATAATCGAGAATCATCAATATTACAGTAATGCAACACGGACACCATGCACAATTTAATAGTCAAGTGTTTAAGGCAAGGTGTAGCAATACAAGAACATAGGCAGCAACTTCTAGCATGCATTTCCATTAGTAAAGAGTATGAATGAATCATTGTTCACTTACACAAACAGAATTTTAGAAATAGCTTTATTTTCTGATCAGACAACAATATAGAGGCAACACAGCCATTTGGCAGCTCCTAGTTTACTAAATTAAATGAACAGCATGTTTAACTCACCTCCAGAAGACCATTGAAGTATTTCTTGACCTTATTTTTGCACTCCACCTTTGAAAGAAAAAAATGCAACAGTTGTTACTGCTGGATGAGTCTGAGCTGCCATCAGAGCACAGCCCTTCAGAACAGTCCCTTTCCAGAACAGGCTTAACCCTGCTGGCTGCCTCATGAACATGCAGATCACAAGCTAAACCCCCACATAAATGCAAATCTTATTCAAATCTCAGTCAGGCAGCTGTCAGTTCAGAAACAGATCAGGCAATGCTGCCAAAGGATGGCTGCTCTGCAATTGGCCTCTGGGGCAGGTAAACAGGTTACAGGATCATCTTCCTCTGGTACACCTGCAATTTTTATGGTTTTTTTTTTTTTTTGGACTCTCTCCTGCTTCTTCAATCTCTTGCAACTCTCTTCCAGTTTCACATCCAAGAACTTTGAGCTCCTAATAAATTATTTACTAGGCAACAAAAAACCCCCAAACAACATCTTATGGACTTTTTAAAATTTTATATTTGAAGTACGGAGGAAATGAGAAATAGCTTTCCTATTCACACATTCCTGCTGACTATTAGGGAACATAGCAAGTATACTTTTTGGAGTACAGCCAACCTCAATGTTTCCTTGTCAATTCTGGATGAATCAAACAAGTCTTGGTAGTTTTGTTCATGAAGTTGTACACTGAAATAATTGCCAGTCATTTCATATTATACACGAGGGTAAGTAAATTGCTCTGAAAATGTTTTAAGATCAACTGAATGGGTAGCAAGGTGTGTAGGTAGGAGGGGGAAATAACAGACATCAGTCTTCATTTATTCTGCTGAGTTACAAGAGTTACTCACTTTTATCCAAATATCTTCAAACATTTAATGAGAAATCCTATGCTGAGAGCTGCACACCTCAATTATTCAACCACTCAAGTACCCCTTAATAAAAGTAATAGGGTAGGAGATAAAAGGCAGTCTCCTGGCAGGCCAGTTTTCTCCCAGTCTAGCACAGTCCTGGTTAAACTCCTATTCTCCAGGAACACATGTAACAGCTGTGTTCAGATCCTGTCAGAAGCACCTGTGCAGTTTCTGATCAGGAACACAATTATCAGGGTGGTTTCTCCCCCTCAGCCCAGGTATTCCCCCGACAGTTCCAGCCAGTTACTTACACAAGTCCATAGCTGCACCTACCACGTTGCACGCTCAGGCTGAAAGGTTTCCGGAGCTGATCACCTTCCACAAACAGGTTCCTGGGTGGGTCAGTACTGCAGAGAGCATACAAATATCACACTACAGCCTCACCGTTCAGCCAGCACAGAGCCCGGGCAGGCTCTGGCACGGCTGGGTGTCACCAGCGCCACGTCCCCGCTGTCCCCTCCCTCCGGGCCCGACCCGCTGCAGACCGGGCCGGTGACCGGGCCTGACCCCCCCACACCCGCTACGGCTCGAACGGGCCCCGAGGGCGGCGGGGACGGG